TGTAAAAATGGGATTTCAAAGAAAATTTTATTTATTTCAAAGAAGAAAAATGGATAAAATTATGAACGATTTGAGAAGAAACGGATTCAATTTGGGGAATTTCATTCACAGTCAATCAATTGATAGAAACACGGTTGCTAGAAGTGCTAGAAATTGCTAGAAGTGCATCTAAAAAAAAATCCCCAATAATAAGTAAGACTCACAAAGAAATTCAAGCTAATCATTGTCTAGAAGGCTCCTAAACACTCTTTTTTTCTTTCTGTAGCTCATTTTACCCCTTATCCTTTCCCAAAAAGAAACCCAATTTACTGCCATTTTTTCTTCAACTTTTTAAGGTCGACTTTTTGAAAAGGTTCCTAATTTTTGAAACTTTCTTTAAAAACTAGCTTTTCTTGAAGATTATGAAGAGGAAATGGAATGCTTTGTGGAAGAAAATGACGTGCAAAGAGCTAAAGAGCTTGCAAATGTGTAAAAGAGCTTAAAATCTATGATTTTAAAAATGAAGTGTATTCTCGATAAATATAGCTTCTTTTTACTTCTTTTTACTTTTTATTTGTAGTAAAAAGAAGCTGTTGCTAGTGTAAAAGAGCTTAAAATCTATGATTTTAAAAATGAAGAAGCAACAAATCATTAACGGATTGTGAGGATTTTTTGGAACATTCACCTCTTTACAATTCTCAATATTTATCGAGAATCTATTTGTATTGCACATTTACTTTGTTGTAATCGGAGACGATCGGACGATCGATCTAAACCTTTTTAAGCAATCGATGAAAAGAAATTTCAATCTTGAGTGTCCCGGCTGTCTTTCGTTTAGTGGAATGTCGAATTTGTAGTAAAAAAAAAGCTAAATTTAAGGCAAAAAATTGTTCCTAGCAGGGAAGATGGCAATTAAGGTGGAATTTCAAAACGAAACCTACCTTATCTTGTTCAGTTTTTCACGGGCTTTCCGAATTCGCTTTTAGTTTTTCCTACGGCTTGCAAACGAAAGGAATTTGACTTTATATTCTTCTTTATTCTTCAAAGAATCTACTTTTTTATTGGCAAAATTGAGTTTAGATATCTAAGTTCCAGAAGTGAACAGAATCAAAATCAATTCCAAATGCAACTACAAATAAAAACCGATACCATATTTATATGAGACGTGATTCAGAAAAAGATTGGTTAGTTTAAAAAGTTAAACAGTTGCCGGCAAGGGACTTAAACCCGGAGCAAAGGCTTTATAACCGAGAGCACTACCTCTCGACTCTATAAGGAGACGTTTATGATGCAAGCAAGGAAGTCCTAATACATAGCAAGGAAGTCCTAAGACATAACAAGGACCTCAATCGACTCGCCCGCCTCAATCGACTCGACTCGCCTCAATCGACTCGACTCGCCTCAATCGACTCGACTCGCCTCAATCGACTCGCCTCGCCTCAATCGACTCGCCTCAATCGACTCGCCTCAATCGACTCGACTCGCCTCAATCGACTCGCCTCAATCGACTCGCCTCAATCGACTCGCCTCAATCGACTCGCCTCAATCGACTCGCCTCAATCGACTCGCCTCAATCGACTCGCCTCAATCGACTCGCCTCAATCGACTCGACTCGCCTCAATCGACTCGACTGCCTCAATCGACTCGACTCGCCTCAATCGACTCGACTCGCCTCAATCGACTCGACTCGCCTCAATCGACTCGACTCGCCTCAATCGACTCGACTCGCCTCAATCGACTCGACTCGCCTCAATCGACTCGACTCGCCTCAATCGACTCGACTCGCCTCAATCGACTCGACTCGCCTCAATCGACTCGACTCGCCTCAATCGACTCGACTCGCCTCAATCGACTCGACTCGCCTCAATCGACTCGACTCGCCTCAATCGACTCGACTCGCCTCAATCGACTCGCCTCAATCGACTCGCCTCAATCGACTCGCCTCAATCGACTCGCCTCAATCGACTCGCCTCAATCGACTCGCCTCAATCGACTCGCCTCAATCGCCAGTCGATTGAGCAAGCTCGTTTTTCTATAAGCTTCAATATGAGCCGGCATTTGAATCAGGTGACTGTATTTTTGATACTTTTACATTTACTTCTGTTTCACCCGAGTAAACCTGATCAAAAGCTTTTCAACGATCTCTCTTTGAACTTTTCCCTCATTTTTTATGGGTAAAAAGCTGTGTTTTCGTATTTAATCCTCAACTGAATAAAAATAACAGCTTACTGTTTACAAACTTTGACATTTTGCAATTCCTATATTTCAACAATTCCTTTAATACTTCATTAGTTGGCTTGTTTGTTCGATTTGACCAAAACAATCAACGAAAAATGGTTTGATGAATGGTGGATAGTTCAATGGGGGTGAAAGAGGCCATTATCGGCTTTACATCGATGAGAATATTGGGAATGGGGGTGATGATTGGTCCCTCTTCTCCGTCTCTCCACACCTGTCCACAAATTACCTCATTTCCTATCTCAATTCTGTCCCCTTTATTTCTTGCTTTTGTCACTTTCATGTTTTTATCTTAAATATTTATCATTTTTCTCTTTTTAGCTTGTTTATCTTTCATATAGATGAACATATACCATTCTTTCAACTTTTCATTCAACAGCTGGAGTGCACACTGGAGTGCTGGAGTGCACAATGGAGTGCTGGAGTGCGGAATGGCTTTAAAATTTGTGCTTTATTCAGCAATATCGTTTTTTTCTCATATCCCTAACATAGCTGGACCCGGCCGCTGGGAATGGTTGTCGATTTTCAAATTCCCATCTAATATCCTTGCGATCTGGATGGCAGCATAGAACTTGAGTACAACAGTGTGCCAGAAAGTGCACGTTTATGTCAATCGGGGTTACTGTAGGCCAAATGTTCAACAGCCAAAAAAATAACCTTTTCACCCAAAAAAGACCAAACGGCAAAGCCTTTTGACCAAAAGAAAAAAAGCTTTTACAAGAAAATTTGAAACTTTTTAAGGAAAACAAATTTTCAACCTGTGCAAAATATTTATCATTCAAGTACTCCCATCCTTCTCTTTCTCATTTCTCTATTTTCTTTTGTCTAATCGATGCAGTGCTGTCTAAATTGTACTAAAAGTCATTGTGTCTTTTTTGTGCTTTTTGTCTGTCTGTCTTTTTTTTCTTTTTGCCTTTTTGTCCCATTCTCTTTTCTAAAAGTCATTTCAACTTCTTGCGTATTATATTTTTTTCTTGGTAACACTCGCAACACATTCATCTTCTGAGTTGGTAGGATAGGTTTTTGATGGAATGAGCTTGGGAATGGGTAGAACGGGGTACCCAAATCAACAAATATTTGCCAATCTTTTCCCTTTTCTCCCATTCATCCACTCCTTATGTCCAACCGATATGGGAATAGCATTAGGTTGAATGAAAAAATAGCGAGAAAAATGCGTTTAAAATGCTACGCGACGCTCCGACCGTCATTATAAGCGGGCGCTTCTATTACAGTATTTTTTGAGTAAAATGTAATACTTCATTGCATTCTACAAGAAATAGCAACGATCAATCAGTAAGGGATTCTCTTTATCGATGACTTCTTTCCATCATCGACGCAATTCCATTTGTGAAAAATTGAGGATTGGAGCCAAAATAGTTGTCAACAGCTTTTTTTGACTTGAGCATGATCATCGAACTTTTCTCCCATAATAAACTATTTCAAAAAGTAATCAAAAGTAACCTGATGGGGCTAAGTCAGGAGAGTAAGGCGTATGAGAAAGCAACTTCCAGCCCAGCTCATCAATTTTTGACTTTTGCAATGCGTTGTCGTGGAAAAATCAAATCTTTGATGGATTGAGCCCAAATTTCTTTAAAGCATCGTTAACTCTAGACAATTTTTTTTGAATAGAGATCAGCATCAATGTTTTCTGCTGGATTAGCTAACTGCATTAGATCTTTTGAGTTCCATCAGCAACAGAGCATTATTTTCTTTCCATGAATATCATATTTGGGAGAGGTTTGAATAGAGAGCAGCATCGTTTTTCCGGTAGCCTTCTTTTTAACATTCTCGTAATTAATCTACGTTTCATCAGATATCAAAATCGAATCCAAAAAACCACCAGCTTATGAAGCAAAAAAGGACTGACGACATTGACACGAGTTGTTTTGTTGTCTTGAGTCAGTTTGTGCCCATTTTCCACAGCAAATTTTTTCCCCAGTTGCACATGGTTGTCGATTGTCTTCAGGTCAAAATCGCGAGTCGTGAGTATTGAGATAAAGTCAACTTCATCTCGTAGAACATCTAAAGTCCAATCATTTATTACAAATGCTTAACTAAAATACATGATATGTTGAGCAGGATGCTTTTGCATAGTGTCCTCCCCTTCATTCTTGTTTGTCACTTCCCTCTCTTCCTCTCCTCTTCAGTCTGGTGTTATTGTGATGGTTGGTGGCTTATTTATTTACCTTGCCCTTCCCACTACTTCTACTCCTTTCTCTTCATTCTCTTTTCTTTCATTTATCCTCCTTTTCCTATTTGTCCATTTTCTATCCACCCAATCCCCTTTTTAACTTCTGTAGAAGTGACTTTTGTTCCACTTTTGTTTTACCACAGTCAATCTTTTAATTTAACATCTTTATTCAATAATCAAAATCAATAACTATACTAGAGAAACTTTTGAACTACTGAAACTCTTGAACTTTTGAATTTTATTGAATTATAATAATATTGAGAGCCTTATACAAGAGGAATCTTTATGTTTACCCATCAATATTTCCTTATCAATAGAGGACAAGACAGGGAAAAAGATCGATCAGTTTTTCTTAAATGTGCTTAAACATTTTTTGATGGGATCGGTTTTTGCTATGAAAAATCTCTGTTTGTCATTTTTTTTTTTCGAAAAAGCCAAACTTTGTCGTCGATTTTGTTGTTATTCACAAGGGGAAAGCTTTCAAAAAAAGGGCATATTTCCATGACTACAAAACAGACTCCTAAAATGACTTGACACAAAAATCAATCATAAAATTTTGCCAAATTTCTCTCGATTTATTTTCTTCATTGAAATGTCATTTTCCTCATTTCACTGTCGTTTCCCATCAGATCTGTGCAAAGATTTCCGCGATTTGTTCACTCAATTCTTTGGGATGGATTCGTCGACTCTCTTGCGAGTCATTCATTTGATATTGATGGTGAGGAAAGTTTTGGTTTCGATTTTAGATTGAGCACTGTAATTTGTACAGAATAAGTGAACAATTCAAAAGTTTCAATACTATTGTGCGGTAAAATTATGAAACGATAATTAATGGAAACTCCTCAATCGTTAATCCTCAACGGGCAACAATTTGCTTATAAAATTAATCAAAAAACAAATTAATTACAAAATAAAAACTTCTAAATCTCAAAATTTCTAAATCCACCATACAAAATGAATGAGTGGGTCTAGGAGCATGAATGAGTGGGCCGATTATGAATGAGTGGGTCTAGGAGCATCCAACCATCAAGTATTTAGTATCATTTAACGCAGAATCATTAATAATTATGTTACATTTTTTAAATTAGAAAGATTGGATAAAAAGAAAAAAAATTATGGGGCTTCAAAGTTTTCTCTTGAACAAACAGTTTTTTTGCTCTAATTTTTTTTCTTTTTTTCCAATCTTTCTAATTTAAAAAATTTAACATAATTATTAATGATTCTGCGTTGAATGATACTAAATACTTGATGGTTGGACGCTCCTAGACCCACTCATTCATAGTCGGCTACGGGGGTCCCGCCGATTTTGAATGAAACGTTGTAGCGCCGGCAATTTTTAACCTAAACTCACAAATTTGGTACCAATCGACGCAGAATTTAATTCGCTACAAGATGATATATATTGTCCTCATACACTAAAGGGTTGCTCTACTAGAAAGATTTGCCAAAAAATTTCATTCATAATCGGCTACGAAATAACAATTTCTAAATTCACCATTTGCAGCAACATTTCTAAACACATTTCTTCAAACGCTTGGGAAAGTCGTCGATTGTTTTTTGGAGTAGTCAAAGAAATCGAGTCCAATTCCAGTTCAATGCCTTAATCAAATCGCGTTCAAAGATTCGATTGATGTGTGGGATTTAACAAGCCTCTGTCTCCAAAATGAACCAAATAGAATAGTCGAGAGGTTTGAGATCAGATGGCCATTCACCAGGAGTCTGAACTGACATCAACGGTGATCCAATCCAACGGTGATCCAATCCAACGGTGATCCAATCCAACGGTGATCCAATCCAACGGTGATCCAATCCAATCCAGTTCTTAGCGATCCACTCTTGAATCTAAATCCTTTCCTTTCTAGATTTGCAAATCCTTTTTGTTTTCATATCTAATAACAGAACGTTTAATAATAGTTAAAAGCAAATTAAAAAAAAAGAAAAAAACAACATAAAACAGCTGAATCGTTTCATAATTTTGCCTCACCCTTTAGCTCAACACTAAAATTTTTGATTGATTTAAACTTTTTAAAATGAAAGTCCTTTCTTCTAGCTTCATTATTGGTAATAGAGATGTCATAAAATGTCATAAATTGTAAAAGCAGGCTCTAGAAACCTTAACAAGCATTTGTAATTGGTATCAAGCAAGCCTCTACTTTTACTTAATCATTTTAGTTATTTTCCATCGCAGCTTTATGTCTGACGAGCGCCATTTTCGATTTTATCATCATCAATCGAATGTATTACACATTGCCCGAAAAGGTAAGCGAACAAAGCTATAAAGCGAACAAAGCTATAAAGCGAACAAAGCTATAAAGCGAACAAAGCTATAAAGCGAACAAAGCTATAAAGCGAACAAAGCTATAAAGCGAACAAAGCTATAAAGCGAACAAAGCTATAAAGCGAACAAAGCTATAAAGCGAACAAAGCTATAAAGCGAACAAAGCTATAAAGCGAACAAAGCTATAAAGCGAACAAAGCTATAAAGCGAACAAAGCGACAAAGCGAACAAAGCGACAAAGCGAACAAAAATCCCATCAACAAAGGGAGAATAGAAAATTCAAAAATCACAAGTCAATGAGATGACCAAAAGAATGGCAAACCTTTAAATTTCTAGCGAGTGCTCGTGGATGAAGGGATGTCTCTAATCTTTTTCATTTCTTCATCTCTTCTCCTTTTCGTCTCACTTTGCTCACTTTTCTTCTCGCAAACATCGCAAAATATTCAAAATATGGCAAGGAAATACGAATGTGTTCTTGGATTTTTGGTGGGGTTTGTTTGAAAATGAAGGAAAAGTTGAAGAAAGTGTAAAGATTTACATTTTTGAAAACTACAAAACGGGAAAACATTTCAGCACGGTTTCTCGCTTCTTTCGTGTACTGTAGTTGGGGCTCTTTGCACAATCAAAGCAATCGAAACGGCTGTTGAGGTATATCTAAAGAAATTTTAGCTTTATTGGTGAAAACACGGCCAAAAAAATGACCGTACAGAAAGACAGAAAGACAGAAAGACAGAAAGACAGAAAGACAGAAAGACAGAAAGACAGAAAGACAGACAGAAAGACAGACAGACAGACATACTGTAATAGAAGCCCCCGTCACGTGGTCGCAAAAATTTTTTGACTAAATCATTTTTTTCTAAGCGCTCATAATTTTGGGAACTGTATGTTTCTAAAAATGAAAGTTTAGTATCAAAAAAATAGCTCTGAATTTCAGCTTTCATTTGATACTTAAGCGCGCCTTCTAGCATAAACGGGTGGCGAGAAAAATGCGTTTAAAATGCTACGCGACGCTCCGACCGTCATTATAAGCGGGCGCTTCTATTACAGTATTTATGTTAGTAGATTTTTCAAAATTCTACAAATTTCACAAGCCAAAATTGTAAGTAAATTGAGCTTTTTTTTTCAGATATTTCCATTTGCATACAATGCTGTTCCATATCAATTCGAAAAAGCCTCTCATTGGTATTACACAAGACTCGTCGCTGTTGCTGTGAGTTTTGCAAAAGTTAAGCAAATCTTTTTCCAATAGAGAACAGATTTTGACGATTCCGACAATTTGAAAACTTTGAAATGATAGTTAAAACAGAAAAAAATGACGATAAAATGCGACAGATCGATTGCTAGAAAAGTTTAAAACTTAGAAATGCTAGACAAAAAGCTAGACAAAATTTGAGACAACAAAGTAACTTCAAAGTTGAGCGAGATACTGTAGATTTCCTCAAGCATATCACAACAATAAGCAACCAAATCAACGCTTAAAGTCAACCAAATCAACGCTTAAAGTCAACCAAATCAACGATTCCAATCGTTTCCCTCATTTTCAGATAATCTTCGCTCTTTCATCTCTGATCTGTTTATGCGAATTCCTCTTTTTGCATTGTGGAATCCGTTTTCGACAGAACACTTTCACAAAGCTTATCCCATCGACAACTAAATCTTCGGCGAATTCGAATCCGAATTCGGCTCAACAGCGAGGATTACTCTATTTCTCTTGAATTTCTCTTCTTCTGCATATTTTCTGCATATCAAATTCTGTAATGCCTAATGCCAAATGCCAAAATTTCTCAGGAAGCCTCAAATTTGATGTGTTAAAAGTCTAAATTCTAGACAAAATGTGCGATTTTTTTTAAAAGCTTTCGTGATTTTTCAAATTCATTTTCATTTACCTATGTCACATCATTATTTGTCTGATCTCTTTCTCAAAATTTTCTTTATATAACAGTGCTATTATCAACAAATACGTGTTTCTTGTGGTTGTAAAATCAAAATTTCAATTTCTCAAAATAAAACAAGTTCAAATTTATTGTATCACTATTGTTTATTGTATCTTAACCCATTCGAAACTTCTGCAGCGAATAATTGCTGCAGCAAAAACTCAGGAACGGACCGCTGCAGCGATTATTCGCTGCAGCGCTAATTGAGCTATTTTCATTCAATTAATTGCTTTTTTTTGCTGTTTTTCAGCATTACATGTATATTCCAATTGTAACAGATCTACAAATTACGTGGGCAAAAAAATATGTGCCATATTTACCCGGAATCAATGCAGCCTCTGGTTTTGCATTGAAATGTTCCATAATAGCTCTAATCTTATAAAGCCGATCTCCTGCAGGATCCAGTTCATTATCACAAAAGCGCAGGTTTCGAAGAATAGATTCAAATTTTGCTCTTGACGTAATGTGGGAAAATCCTCCTAATCCAGGCCTGCTACTCCAGTAGTCACGAATCCTCGGTAATTTGATGATTCCCATTTGAAGATACAGAGCCAGGAAGAGCTTGAAAGATTTTGCATCGAAATCCTGCCAGTTTGTTTTCCTTTTTCTATGTTTATTAGATTCGCCTACTAACATATTGATTAATTTGTCGTCGATAAAATAAGAATAATAATCGATCTTGAAAAGTGCTGAAGTCAAATCCAAATCGTTCTTCATCAAAAATAAATGGTGTAGGAGACTCTCTTAAATCTTTAATCTTTCCAACCATCTGGATAATCTGCTTCGGAGTCAAAAATGTCAAAAAAGGGCTTGGTCGAAAAAAAAGAAAAAACGCTTCGGTTTCGAATGGGTTAAAGCTTCTATTTCAGATTGTTAATCGACAAGAAACTCTCAAAAAGCGTTCATTTTCGATTTCGTTTTCTATTAGGTGTGTGAAAAAGTAATCCACGTTTTTTATTTTTATCTGATGACCAAATAAGACGCTGTCTTCTCGAAAACCCTCGTTCAACCTCTTCAGAAATAGGCCTTACATTAAATTGTGATGGGTCAACCGTAAGGAAACGCTTGAATGCCATGAATTTTATCAAAAAGTTGGACAAATGGATACCGCATGAACGATAACGCGCGACCACATGTCTCTTTACAGACTCGACAAAAAATCCAGAGTGTTGGATGGGAGGTTTTACCACATCCACCTTATAGTCCAGACCTTTCTCCATCTGATTATTATTTATTTTTGTCTCTGTCTAACTTTTTGGCCAATAAACGGTTCAATTCCGAAGAAGATGTCAAAACCGAGGTTGCTCTTTTCTTCGCCTCTAAGGACCAAGATTTTTATTATCGTGGAATGTCTTTACTTGTAGAACGTCGGCAAAAGGTTGTTCTTTCGAATGGTGATTACTTCGTTGAATAAAAATTATTTTAACGAAACTTATGGTATATTTAAACGTTAAAAACGTGGATTACTTTTCACACACCTAATATTTCGTTTTCTATTTCGTTTTCTATTTTCATTTTCAAACCGACTTCTCGGTGGTGGTTTTCTTGGATTTCTGTCCCTAAAAAATAACAAAAATAAAACGAATTTATGACTAATACAATAAAAATTCTAGACAAAATGGTAATTAATAAAAAAACAAATACTTTGACTAACTTTTCATGGATTTTTTCTCCCTGGCTCAGCTTTAGCAGCACAAAGCCTCAGCACAAAGCCTCAGCACAAAGCCTCAGCACAAAGCCTCAGCACAAAGCCTCAGCACAAACGAATCCTCGAGCCCAAGTTGCTTGGTTCGGATCTAAAAAAGAATTTCCCATATTTTAAAGGCAAAAGATAAATGGCAAAACTGACTAGTAGTGCTAACACTTTTAGCAGAAACTCTAACATGCAAAAACTCAATTTGTTGCTTTCTTTGTAGTAGGATCGGCGTAAATCATCAATAAACAGAATTGGCGCCTTTTAAGATAAAAATTAAATGCAAATTTTGGAATTTTTATAATTTTTATTTAAACTCGCTAACTTTTTGATAACTTTAAATGTAAATTAATATGCTTTTTTGAAAATCCCACTCGTTTCAGTCATACTTTATTCATCATACTCTTTAAAACTTTATTATATACAGAAAAAAAACTTCATTATATACAAACATTCAATTATCACGGTTACAAATATCGAATTTCTTTCTCAATTTTCCGTTTGACAACAAATCTTAAGTCCTTTTGTTGTTTTGTAGCAGAGATCTTCGATTCCCGAACAATTTGTCGTCGATCCACACGTTTCGCCCGTTTCAATATGACCACCAGGACATCCTGAAGATTGGTTTAGTTGAAGTGGAACTTATCAAACTACGAAAACAGCTTGTATTAGATTCATGCAATCTTTACTATTTTTTCTATTTTTCTTTCCATAGAAAAGAATTCTTTACCAAACTTGTTGCGTTCTAAATTATTAAAAAGATCTATCATTTCTCTACAAAATTTCCCTGTTGGAATCCGGTCAGAACAAAAATTGTACGCCGTCGGGACTCGAACCAGCCACGTTTCGCTTACTGGGCAACGGTGCTAACCATTACACCACAAGGCACTTAATCCCCTTACTCCAGAGGCAGTTAAGTGCTCAAAGCTCGCTTCAATTCGATAAAAACGCATTTTTATGTAAAATTTTCAATTCCTGTTTTAAAGAAAATCGATAAACGAATCGTTTTCAAATTTTACAAAATTATGTAATCAAATGAGCTCTATCTTTTTTACTTTGGCACCAAAATAGGTTTGTATTGAAGAAAGTGTCCAAATTGACTTCGGCATCGGATCAGAAGAAAATGGACTCCGGTTATCGGAGCAGTTTTGGGTGCCTTTGAAAATCGACAAAAGCAACTATTTTCAAGAATTTCCCAAAAGCCATTTTGTAGAGAAACAATCAAGCTTTTTAATACTTTAAATAGAAATTTTGTTGGTGGCGGTATTATTTTTAAAAGACGCTTGAAAAAAAAAATTGTAAAGACTTGCACCAACCAGTCGACTCTCGATTTAACGTTTCTAAAAAGTGGCCCAAATTTCTTGCGTAGCTGCTCTGAACGTTCAAGGAAAGTTGGCTGGGCAGCTACGCAGAAACCAAAGGCCTTTTTTAGAATTTCAAAATCGTATCGAGAGTCGATTGTAGCTATCAGCCAGTTCAACGGCAGTTCTTTAGCGTTTTATTTACTACTATATGATAGAGTACTGTTTTTGATTTTCAACTCATTACAGAAATAGACTCTTCTTACATCGTAAGGTGTTTGTTTTAAACTTACGATTGATTCCTTTGCAACAGACGTGCCCTGTTGGATCGCACATTGATCCTTGACTACAATCTGAGGATCGAGCACATCTAGAAGTTCGGATTGAAATTGCTCTTTACAAATAGGGCTTTCAATGAGTTATAGACTTATTGTCAATTGAAAACTGACAAGAAGTCTACAACAGACTTTGGTCATAAGCTTCTAATACTATTGGGTTGGTGAATTGAAAACTGCAGACTATTGTCATATGTAACAGTTTGAGCACTTTCTTCAAAAGAAACCCATTTTGGTGTCAATGGAAAAGTTGTAGAGAATCAAAAATCAACCTTATATCCAAATTTCCAGAACAATTCAAAAACTGGTTTTGAAGAAATGCCAAATTTACGAATTTTCACAAAACTTGCATTTTAAGCGAAACTACTAAGTGTATCTTTTTGGAAATTTGGCTATAAGCCTAATTTTTGATTCTCTACAACTTTTCTATTGACACCAAAATGGGTTTCTTTTGAAGAAAGTGCTCAAACTGGGACATCTCCAGTCCTCGATTTTTGAGTCTCACACTTGTCTCACACACAAACCAAAATCCTACTACGAAAGAGGAATCCGCAAATTGCCTGTAAAATGGGCAGAAGTCCTCATTAATAATGGAAATTATTTGGAATGAATTTATGGTTTTATGTTCAATAAATTTTAGTTCAAAGTCCCGCAGTTTTCAATTCACCAACCCAATAATAGATCCACAGCCCTTCAGTCGCGTAGTCCAACTTCTTTTTAGAAAATCATTACTTTCTCAGCTCCTAATCATTTCTTTTGCCCAACTACACTTTTAATACAAAAAAAATACTAGATTTCAAGAGCTATCATTTGACTACCAAACACACAGCGTAGCATAAAGTAGCGCGAAGAATGGGACGTTCGAAGTCAGACTACGCGATTGTACACCCGTCATTATGGCGAGTATTTACAGTAATTCTTGACAAACCGTATCAAATTTCCCAATCGATCAACGGTCGGTTCTCCTCGAAGACCCACACGACATTCAATTCCTAAAGAATACAAAATTTTTAGAAGGCTTGCAGCAAAAGCTAAGCTAAACTCTGTCCTTTTTTCAACTCACTTTTGCACTCTCCATCCGTGTAACTGAACCCAGACGGGCATCCACAAATTGCCTATAATTTTTGGGGAATTTAATGAGCTTTATTGTCCACCACCTGCACGCATCTCAATTTAGCCGTTTCACTCGCATCTTGTTCAGCCTTTTTATTCGGTTGAGCCACACATTGATCATCAATCTGTCAAATTTACATTGAATTTGTCTGTTTAATCTCTTAATTTGTCAAATTAGGTTTAGAAATGCGTAGAAAAGGACTCGAGTTTATCAATTTCAAATTATCCGCTTATTACACACTAAACAAACTTTCTTTTCTCTATCCTAGCTAAAACTTGGATAAAAATCTTTTCTTACGAAGCAACTATCCCCATTGTACGCCATTGGATAACATTGTCCGTCGACATAAAGATCTTCCAATGAAACACACGGTTTCGGGCAACAAATCTAAAAGAAACAAAAAGTTGAAAAGCTTTTAGTGCTTCGATTACTGTTTCTTACTTCTTTTTCAGTGGATACTGTATCTCGATGACAATAGTGATCATCCGGGCAATCCGCACAACCAAAAGTTGGCATCTGGAAAGTTAACTATTAAGTTAACTATTAAACTTAGATATTCTAACTAGGGAAACTATTTACAATATTTATTTACAAAAGCAAAAGTTTGGTCGTTTGGCGGACTTTAACCAGGGACCCTTTCGCACTGAGCGTTTCGCAAGCAGGCACACTAACCACTAAACCACCAGGTCGTGACGATCTTGTGATCGAGATCGCCACGTATGGAAATGGTCAGCTAGGCACCTATGTGGACGAACACCTATTGTGCGAGATTTAATATGCGTCGCTATCCGTTCAACTCCTGTGTGTGTGTGTGTGTGTGTGCAAGACGCACTCTTGTGTGCAAGACGAGACCAACGCCTGAGTTCCATATAAAAGCAATGTGAACGAGCTGCCGAGGTGTGCCGTGGAGTGTCTCTACTCTCCCAATCTCAAACCACTGAACCAACTATTATCGCTGTAATAAAGATTATATCTAAACCAACAATAACCACTACAAACGGAGTGTATTTATGCGTCAAATACAGGGCGCGAAAATTCTGTCCTTTCTAGAATTCTCTCTAAAAGCTTCCTGGTTGTTTTATTTCATAAGTGTTTATAGCCAAAGATAGCCAATATTTTACAGAATTTAAATCGTATTATAGTTTTTAAATAACTTCATTAGAACTTCTTTAGATCTTGGCTTTTATTTTGATCCACCTGACTACTCGAATGTGATTTTCCGACGGGACAAGCCGGTTCACGGGGAATCGGATTCGGACAACAGAAACCCTAAACAAAAATTTCTTGAATCAAAAACAACAAAGCAAACTTGATAAAAGCCAGGCTTTTGTGGATCATCAAAAACGGGCACACAATAAAATCCCATTTGACAATCATCACGCTGAGCATCGAACATTGTCGCGTTTTCTTGTGGAGACACTAAATGACTGTCTTTCAACTGCTTTCCATTCTCCCACCAACCTTCAATCACTTCATATTTTTCTTCTTCTTCTCTCGATTTTTGATCTTCTTGTGACAGATTATTGTTCTCATTGTTCTCATTATTTTCATTTTCCACTTCCACAATCTCTGTCGCATTCTCGATTTTCTTCAGCCTCGAGAAGCGCGACTAAAATGGGCAAGTTATCAACTTGGTAACTTATCGTTGTCTTCCTGATAATCTGAAAGATCTCTTAAAATCTCTTACCTTACTATTAATGATTTAAGTAGAGCTTTGCTTTGCACAACAAACAAATCTCTCCAATGTAAAATGTTCGTTACAAGGTCGCGTACGTTCTCTTCAAAAATTACGTTCCTATTTGCATTTAATTTGCGTCGCTTTTTCGCCTCATCCCCCTCCCAAATTTCTTTCTTTTCTGTTTCTTTTTTTGAAGTTTTGCCCTCGTTCTTTCGGGATTTAATGTTTCTCTTCACGCGCACGCTGTTTTTGTAATGGATGTCAGGTGCATTACTAGTTGCGCGGACGCGAACATTACCAGTAGGCGGGACTTAATTTTCCCGTTGGCAATGTCTGATTTTATCAATTAAATTCGATTTTGATGAAACTTTCCCCATTTACCTATACCGATTTCTTTGATCATTTCTTTGAAACCCTGTGGAAATGGCAGCACAATACCGAAAACTTAATGTATCTTTTCTGGGACGCGATTGCCAAAAAGTATCCTTTAAATTCATTCTCTTTGTTACCTTTTGTTGTTATGTTGTTATGTTATTGTTGTTGCTCTATTGATCATTTTTTTTTGCTAAACTTCTGTTTTCATCAATAGAACAACAACAATCATGGTGCCCGTGCACTCAAGTACGCGTCAGAGTCTCTTTCGGATTTGATTACAAGTTGAGGCCATTTGGTGTACAGATTAAAGCTTCGCAAATCTAATCTGGCAGTAGGTAATCCACCAATATCTTAAAGAAGTCGATAAGAAAGAGATAATTTTGTGCAAGCAAAATAAAACAACAAAAAATCGGTATAGGTAAATGGGCTTTTTGCTTTTTTCGTTGCTTTTTTTTCATTCTGGACTAATAAACCGTAAAATTATAAATGCGATTTACTTGAAACCACCCTTAAGATTCTAAATTCTCTTTTAGATAGCTGGAAAGAATAGAAATAATAGAAAGAATAGAAAGCTAATATTTGTGTTGCCATCGACGAAGCGTCAATCCGTTGTGTACTCGTATCACGAGCGTTAACCTTATGCTGGATGTTGCGTGTTCTTGTTGTGTTGTTTGTGTTGTTGTTGTGTTGTTGTGTTGCGAGCGTTTTTTTGGGGAAACCCGTTGAAACTTTTGTGCTATTTTGAATTCTGAAACAAAATCTTCGCCGATGATAAAGTTGGCACATCCCAAATTACAGAAAGTACCCCAGAATAGATTTCTATTCTATCCTCTACCTGTTGTTGCAGTGAACACGTAACGATTTTGTCGTTTTTCATTTGTGGCTGCTGTCTTCCAACACACTGATAATCTGAAAAATCTCTTGAAAATCTTTTCATTTTCTTTTTTTCCTCACTTATCGGCTTGCATCCACCACCGCCATCTCGTTGAAAACCGGGTTTACATCTGGAAAAGAAAGTGTTATATTAGATAGTTTAGTAATTGAATTTGCTAAACGGTATCATCAGTTTTGCTTTCTTTTTCGGCAATTCTCACCGACATCCCCCAGTTGCACACTCAGAGAACGCAGCCGAACATTCAAGATCACTCGTGCATTTCTCCTAAAAATCTCATTTCTTTTATAGCGATTTGTACTGCTTAATCGTTTAATATCGTTTTAAACTTTTGATTTTTATCCTTCAAACATTCAACTTTTGATTTTTAACATTCAAATCCTTCAAACATCATTCAAACCTTAAGCCTTCTTCTCAATCGTCGACAACTTTTCATATCGGGTGCCGGAGTATAACCGATTTCTTTTGGACAATCACATCTAATAAAGTTTACAATCGAAAACCTTTAAAATTCTTACCTGCAAGTTCCTTGTTTGTTACAGATACAAGCCGCATTTCCCTCACAACCCGTACTCGGCACACAGAACTCGCCAAGAATTGGACGCGTCGGGATTTCTGCAATCATTTCAAACTAGACATGGGCGCTATAAACCCTTCTAGAAACGCACAGAATGGATATTTTTGAAAACCTTTTTTATCAAAGAATTTGATCCAACTTTAGGCTTTCGAATGACACCAAAATCAGGCCAAATCATGTTCTCGGCATTGAGATGTAGCGTTTTCTCCAGGTTTGTGACCACGTCCTATGGGACGAGACTACAAACAGCTAAAAGTGGCTCGTTCTCAAAGTAAAAATGATGGATTGACTTGATTTTGGTGTCATTCGAAAGCCTAAAGTTGACCCAATATGAGGCAAAAGGTTAAGCCCCGCGGGTTAAGGTTAAGGTTAAGCCGCGGGTTAAGGTTAACCAAAAAGGTTAAGCCCCCATAATAGGTGGGGTTTTTAGCCAACAACTTTACATGGATATTGCATTTTAAGTTAATTTTAATATCATTCGACGCCCAATTTTATTCTGCATCGAATGAGAATTTAAATAGTCAAAATCGAAGAGTTGGTGCTGAGAAAAACACGAAAAACCTTAAATTGCCAACGGCAAAAAAGGATAGACACGTGTTTTTGTGAAAAGTCTAATTTGTAGCGCCTATATCTATTTCAAACTGTCTACAATACTTATCATTTACCAGGTAGTGACGGCCGAGAGATCAATGGTTCATTTTCATCATCAAGACTGCAACAAAAGCCTGTCTGTTGTTCACAATAGCCTGTACTTGGACATGGCATCACGCGGCCACCCTGTAATCGTTTGTAGATCAAACAAAAATCTACACTACACTGATGCACTCCAGTTTCCAATCTTGAACCAATAAACTTATGCTCACCTTAATCTGACACATAATCGGTTTCCCAGTGATCTTATTCATCATGGCTTTTGTCGGCAATGGACACGTTCGAAGCTCTGAAATCGAGATTGTTTCATCTGAAAATAGAAGAGGCTAACTTGTGCAACAAACTCCAAATTGTGGATTGCATATAGATTGACCGGGGCACGGTTGCAGAAGGTCACAAGATGCAAAATGTCGTCCTCCATCAACGGAAATCGTGTCTCCACCACCCGGGCAATAAGGATCTGCAAAAAGCGTATTGAAAGCTTTAAGCTAAAGCGTTTTGGGCAATTAGTGCACTTTGTGTTTAGGAATGAAAACATATCCTTTCTGATGCTAATTCTTTCTTACAACTAGCTATCTTACATTCAAAGATTCAAACTTTTCTGTTCCATTTTCTCATATTTCGTTGAAAAGCATGCTTTCCGAACTGCTCCATCAACATTTCCCAATTTGCATGTTTCGCCCTGAAATATTTTTAGAATAACGTTATCTAGGTGCTTCTTATTTCTATTTTATTTTCATTTTCATTTAACTCACAAGTTGACATTGTTCTTTCAACGAGCATTCATCTCGTCTACATTCTGATTCATCACAAAATTCCCCTCGTCCACATTGCCAACTCAAAGTACATGATGATCCAATTGCAGTAACGGATAACGTGAGAAAAACTGAAAAGATTTAGGCATATATTATCGTTTTGTCCAACTAGTCACCTTTTTTACAGGTGAGTATTTTTTTTAAAGGTTTGTCCCGTCTTAATAGTCCGTTCTAGGCTCATATTTCTGTTATTTGTAGCCCAAAATGATTGATTTCTTTTTTAAATGAAAATTCACATCCTTTTCTGTATGTGTTCAAGATTTCATGACCATAGCATTAATAGATCATTTTTTATGAACGCTTAAAAATGGAACCAAATTTGAGTTGCGGCTCGTTATTTTTCGACCAGCCATTTTTAAGTGTACATAAAAAATGATCTATTAATGCTATGGTTATGAAATCTTGAAGATATACAGAAAACGATGTGAATTTTCATTTAAAAAAAGAAATTAATCGTTTTGGGCTACAAATAACAGAAATATGATGCTAGAAAGAAAGGGCGGATCACCCTGCAACTCTCACCTGAAATGACTCCAAGTGACCTCAAAATGGTCATCACTTCAGCTTCAAACCAAATTCAATCCAAATTCAATTCAAATTCAATCCAAATTCAATCCAAATTCAAATAGAATATCAAGCAAATCTTTTCTGTGTCTGTGAATGGGTATCGAGAATTGTTCCGAAATGATTCTGTTGTATTCATTTATCCCCTTTTTGAGCTTTTCTTTCCATATAAAGGGGTGTGCCCAATCCCCGTTTTGGTTCCTTTTTGTCAAATCATGCACAAATATTTCTCTGAATGTCAAAAGGGGAAATCCTTTTTGTCGGCAAAGCTGAATTTTTGGTGTTTCCTTTTCGGTCACATATTATATTTATCCCACTATTTGATCAGTGATCCACCAAAGAGAATAACCCCTATTAGAGCCATTTTATTGTAGGAAAAATCAAAAAAAAGCTCTAGCTTTGTATAAAAATTCAGAACAAAGAAAACAGTAGCACTGTCGCGAAATGAAATCGAATTTATTATTGTTTCAGTATTCATCGATGAGGTTCGCTGGATTGTTGCCCCAAAAGTCCAAGCTAAAATATCAATTTTTACTTTGGTTTATAAAGTTTTAAATGAAAAAGTTTGCAATAATCTTGAGTACAGTAATTTTGACAAGGGAAAGTCAACTGGGTGGGCTGGACATCAGCCATAAACCTAACGACATCAGCCATAAACCTACTGACGCAGAATTTCACGCTGATTCCAAATCTGCTTTCGGTTTTTGCAAAATGGCACTCTATCAAAAGTTATAAGCGTGCAAAGTTTTGAATGGGATTTCAAAAATCACACCCCGAGGTTATAAGCAGATTTCCCAGAGACCCTAAGAAGCAGCGGTGGCCAAGTGGCAGTGTGTTTGAATGCAAGGCAAAGAGTCTCTTGTTCGAGTTCGCCGTTCTGCTCTTGCCGAATGCCGAAACATCTTCGCGAAATTGATGACATTCGTGAAATGGGCGAGTTTCATTCGATACTTCAAACGATGTTTGTTTCAAATTTGATTTTTTTTGTATATATTTGTATTCTGTGTGGATACAAATTGTCTCGTGCCTGTCGTAGCTGTAGTTAGGTTAGATAGATAGGTTAGATAGATAGGTTAGATAGATAGGTTAGATAGATAGGTTAGATAGATAGGTTAGATAGATAGGTTAGATAGATAGGTTAGATAGGTAGGTTAGATAGATAGGTTAGATAGATAGGTTAGATAGATAGGTTAGATAGATAGGTTAGATAGATAGGTTAGATAGATAGATTAGAATCGACGACTGTCATCAATGTCGCGAAGACTTGATGTTTTAGATTTTAATGATTATTGTTTAATGTTAATAGTTAAAAGTAAGCATTTCGATGAGAAGACTGTTTGGAAAAGACTTGTATTTGAAATGGAGATCAATTACCTCTAAAAAACAAAAAAGAAGTTAAACTGGCAAACTCTCTCGGGAATCGAACCCGAGAGAGTTTGCCTTGTATTCTAGCCGACTACCACTCGGCCAGTACTGCTTGCCAAAGCCCCTGGGAATCTGCCCGTCAACTCGAGGGATGATTTCTATACAAAATTCCAGATAAAACTTTGAGCGCCTATAACTTTTAACAGAGTGCTGCGTTGCAAAAACGGAAAGCAGATTCGAAATCAGCGCCAAATTCTGCGACCACACCCGGCTGACCTTCCCTTGTGAGTATACGTAATCCTACCGTATTTTAGTCTAATAAAATCCACGCTTTACTTGAAAAATTCAGAATTATCGGCCACTTTCTCGCCAACTCACTTGTGCCGATGCGTGGATGAGTTTATCTACAATATCTCCTCTCCCCAAAGCACTTTCGATGTAGAGAATGTATTCTGAAAACGATTTTTCCCTTCAATTAACGAGTCTTCCTATTTTCCCCCAACCATCCATTGCCAGCTTTGTATCTCCATCATAATCAGCTCTTTTCAAGATTTCATCTACAGATTGGTCGGCCATTTTCTCTCCAAATCTTTTCACCAGGTAATTCCGATACTCATCTCGATCCACACTTCCATCTTTATTCAAATCGATTCCCTGTAAACTTTGAAAGCTTTTTATTTGAGGGCTAACTTGTTTCATTGGTTCGTTTTGATCTTCTAACTACAAGGTGTGGCAAAATTATGGAACGGATGCTTATTGATGAATTAAAAGAAGAAAATGAAGAGAGTACAACTCCGAGAGTTTTGTAACGGTCCAGAAGATGAGCCTTGCTTTCATTGTTTCCATCCAAATCCCCAAACCATCTTACAGTTAGTTTTTTGCTTTCATTGTGGTCCGGCCACGAAAAGTTCCGAATTCTCCACTCGGAAATAGATTGCTTTCCCATAAATTAAGGCAGAACTTATACTCGCGACGATTTTTGGGTTAGGCTAATTTCGGCCATTTCATTTGCGCAACACAAAATTTACAGGGTAAAAAAAATACTTTCAATTAATCTGACAAAGAATGATTTGAAAACGAAAAAGAAACGACGACGCGGCGCTCCATTGACTACCTCCAAATGGCGGCGACGTCAATTGGAATGCGACCTCGCGCAAAAATTAACGAAAAATTTGCGACAGAAATTCAAATTTAAACTGAAAGTATCCGTTTTGAGCGTCTTCACAAAATTATGGGGTAGGCTAATTTCCGCCATTTTATTTACGCAACAGGGTCATTTGCGCAAGTACGTTTGCGCAACAAGGGTCACTTGTGCAAATTTAACACTGTATTAAGCTGAGAAAGATGTTGCACAAAATCGCAACCGAGCAAGCGACCATTAGCAGTAAAACGTTGGCTTTGTCAAACCAATACAGTTTTCCTCTGTGCGTAGTTTTGTCCAACAGTGGCTTTTGGCTTATATTAAGAACGTTTGCTTGTTATTGTTGTCCTAAATTTCATTGTTATCTCTCGCACTTTTTTTTTTGTTAAAGTAATAAAATAGATTACTAATGGCTATTAGCTCTAAGGAAGGACTAATTTGGATAAATAGTGGAAGATTGGAAGATGTTGTAAAAAATAGAAGAAAATAAAAAACAATATAAAAAGCTCAAACAATGAGAATAATGATGAAAAAACTCGAGTGCTTAATATAGTGTTAAAGTTGCGCAAATGACCCTGTTGCGTAAATAAAATGGCGGAAATTAGCCTACCCCATAATTTTGTGAAGACGCTCAAAACTAATACTTTTAGTTTAAATTTGAATTTCTGTCGCAAAGTTTACCTTAATTTTCGCGCGACGTCGCATTCCAATTGGCGTCGCCGCCATTTGGAGGTAGTCGATGGGAGCGCCGCGTCGTCGTTTCCTTTTCGTTTTCAAATCATTTTTTGTCAGATTAATTGAAAGTATTGTTTTACCCTGTAAATTTTGTGTTGCGCAAATGAAATGGCCGAAATTAGCCTACCCCAAAATTACCTATTGAATTGAATACCTATTGGTATTGACCAAAATTACCTATTGGTATTGAAAGTTTTAGGTTTATTCTGTTAACTGCTTTTGAACATTTAAATATTTGATTCGTTCCCTAATTTTGCCGCACCTTCTATTTTAAAGCTTCTGTCTACGAGTATAACTTTCCATACAAGTAAATATAATTTTCTAAAACCTCATTTTTTTTACACACAAACCCGAAACGTTCGCTTGATCACTTTCTCCAATCGATTATTCGTTTCACAAACTTCAATCGATAGACAAATTGAAATAAATAAGAAAAAAAGCACTCCTTTTAGAAACATTTATTAATCGTTTCTCGGCGAAAATTTGAGACACTGTGGGAATAATTTGAAGAGAAAAAAATGAAAGATGAGATTATTGAAGAGAAGCTTTTACGCTCACACAGACAATGAAGATTTCAAAGAAAAATATCTATTTCTCTCAATCAAATTTCAAAGAAAAATTGCAAAAAAGGACAAACAAACAAATCTTTTTGGGGAAAGGGATTGGTGTAGAAAAATAACCCGTTGTAACACATAAAGTTCTTCAAAAAGCTCTCGACGTCCTTGAGTTTGCAAAAAAAGGTAAATGTTAATTAAATGACAAAAATAAAGATGAATTTAATTTTCTATAAAAATATTGTTATGTGATCAGAAAATTTCAGCGAAATGATGTAATGTCAAAGTCGGAAAACAGTTCTCTGCGCAAGCATATGAATCACTCGAGTGTCTCGTCTGGGCGCCTTTCTTCCTAAAATTTTCAATTCGATTTCGATTTGGGAGTTGAATTATACTTTTCTGTTTGTTGTAATTATTGAGATACATTTGAAACCTTTGATGTACCCTAAAGTCGCGAGTATAAGTTCTGTTTGGTTTTCGCATGCAAATTGACGGCTGTCTCCGGTGCGGTGTGTCGAGGGTTCGAACCCCGCTGAGCTAACTTTTTGCTTTTAAGAACAATATAGAAGTAAATTTATTGAGGGTTATAGCAATTTTATGCTGTTATTTGTTGCTCCGGCCGTGGCTCGGCGTGTCCGCCCTGCTCCTCTCCGGTGTTCAGTCTTATGGATCCCTCCCTGGCCTCTTCATCCGGCCAAAGTCCACGTCGACGATCGAAAGAGATGCTTTCCAGCGTCTTCTTCAACACTATCGTCTGGATGTATCCATGCACATAACAAATAGCAATGGTGATAGGCTGTCACCCTGTAGTATCCCGCGCTCCAAGAACAATAATAAACGTTTATATAACAATAAAAATGTATAAAAAGCCAACAGAAAGAAATTCAAAGCAATTAAAGCGAATGTAAATTAAGGCAGAACTTATACTCGGATTAACTTATACTCGAGACTTTAGGGTAATTGAAATACTTTTGGAAATAAAGTATACTCTAAAAATTTCAATTGAAAATAGAGTTCTCGGGATTACGGTAGAGTAGGGTTTTCAGCCAATTATTGCAAAATCAAGGCTGGTAACGTAACGGTAATCAAGGCTTTTCTTAAATGTGTCAATTTTCTAAAACTCCAGTAAACTTGCCTCTAATTTTACTATACAAGCTGGCTGCAAATTATCGCCTCGCACTTTTTGAGCTATATCTTGGCTGTAGCTTCGCGAACTTGTTTCATTCCTTTTTAACCTGAAAAATGCGATAATTTTCTACGGGGAATTTATACAAATTGTGAAATGCTTTTGAGATTTTTATTAAAGGCTTCGAAGAGCGCTCAAAAAAACCCTTGGCACGCAACTCAATCTACAGCTTTTCATGAACAGATTTTACGGGCTCTCACATAATTTATTCAACTCTTTTCTAGTTAAAAACTTAAAACAAATGTTTTTCAACAACAGACGAAAATTCAAAACTCAGATTTCGAGCAAAAAATCTTCAAGCATGTGGTGTTTTTATGAGCTCTGGATTCAATCAGCTTCTTGAAGATAAATTTTTCTTGAAACTGTCAAATTTCATCGGTTAATCTCAAAGTTAACTTAAAGAATTATCCAAATGTTACTCTGAAAGCTTAAATTTATCAAAAAAGCAAGAAAATCGATTTCCGTTTGAAAATCTAATATATATGTTGTGTCCGATTTAGATTTCCGTCCGATTTAGATTCAATCTAAATCTTATATAGATTGAACAATAATATAAACATGCTTAATATATGTTCTTAAGCGTTTTCTGTAGTTTTCTGCATTTTTCAAAGGTTTCACAGATTCACAGAAAACGCTTAAGAACATATATTAAGCATGTTTATATTATTGTTCAATCTATATAAGATTTAGATTGAATCTAAATCGGACGTCTGATATAGACTGTAATCTAAATCGGACGTCCGCGATAAGTTCAATCTAAATCGGACGGAAATCTAAGTCGGACACAACATATATAAATGAACAGGTCCGCCAGTCAGTCCGTTAGCAATAAATTCGAAAAATGATCCGTTTTGGCTGAAACTTTCAGGATTTGGGTAAAAAAATGCGCTGACCACGAATCTGCAATCAGATTTCGAAAAGGTTTAAAAGCCGCTGTGTTATGGAGTTGGCAATGTTTGGGCAGGATTTTTTTCAGCGCCACTACGCGATACACCAAACCAAATGTGAAAATTTTCATGTTGTTTAATAAAAAGGGAGTCGAATATAATATAGTTGTGCCATTTAAAATAAAGATTTCAAAATTGAGTGGCACTACGGGGGATCGAACCCGAGTCATGTGAGCCGTAGACAAGCGCGCTTCCGACTGCGCCATGACGAGAAAACCTTCGGCCCAAAACATATAGCTAGAAAACCGCCGTTAGGCGGATTTTTCGGCTATTGAAATAGAAAGAGCTTGAATAATGTTGTGTGCATTTTTAGTTCAAGCTGTTTTGGCCGCATCTTTTTGTTTTGGCCGCATCAAGCCTTTAATAAAAATCTCAAAAGCATCCTACAATCTGTATAAAGAAATTCTTCGTAGAAAATTATCGCAATTTTCATATTAGAAAGGAATTAAACCGTTTCGCGAAGCTACAGCCAAGAGATGGCCCAAAAACTATGCGGCGATAGGCGATAATTGCAGGTCAGCCTGCAATAATATTGCCATTGCTATAGGTTCTCTCTCACTTACCATCAAAACACAAATAGGCAGACCAAAGAAGAACCATCAGAATTGAAATAACAACATAAGCAAAACTGAAATAGCTGAATTTGTTTAGCTCTAACAATTTCGAGATATACTATTTCCCCCCCCCCCCCCTCCCCCTTCATCACTTAGAGAACGGCAAATGGCTCAATCTTTTACCCTAGCCTTTCTCGCCTTTACCCGGTCTTCTATTCGAAGAAATACGGTAATTTTATCGCATGCTGTAAACTTCTTTCTCTGCTCACCTCACGGCAGTCACAATTTGCTCTCTCGTCCACTGTTTTGCACTGAAACTGTACGTGGAATTGATGAAAATCTCATCGTTTATCACATCAGTTTTGATGATTTCTTGAGGAAGAACGCCCATTGATTAATCCATATTTATGATATTCGCTGAAGTGTAAATTGTTCGAAATTATGTTGGAAATGAAACGATCCGAACAGCTTTCAAATAAGGTATTCAAATATTGGATTTATTAAAAAAAAATAATTTTTTAAATTTAAAAAAAAAAAAAAAAAAAAAAAAAAAAAAAAAAAAAAAAAAAAAAAAAAAAAAAAAAAAAAAAAAAAAAAAAAAAAAAAAAAAACCCCCCCCCCAATAATAATAAAAAATTTAAAATAAAAAAAATTAAAAAAAAAAAATTTTCAAAAAAAAAAAAAAAAAAAAAAAAAAAAAATTTAAAAAAAAAAAAAAAAAAAAAAAAAAAAAAAAAAAAAAATTCAATTTCAATGACCATAAAATTGAGCAAATCATGAATTTGGAGAGAAGTTTCCAGGATTTTTTGATACTATGATTTCTGGAATTTCTTTGATGTGTGAGTGTATCTTTTTTTTCTTTTTCTTTAGTGACCCTCGAGTGAAAAGTGACGGCGGATTAGAATTCAGAGAAAAGAAAAGAAAAAAGACCCAAAAAAAAGAAAGGATAAGATGAGTCCATTTCTCCTTTTTACAATTGCAATTCTATCCGAAACCGGAGGCAATTCCAAATTAAATAGATTTAAAGAATCACTTGGATAAACTCAAATTTAAAAGCACGAATTTTGTCAGAATTTCTCTGGCAACGACGGAAAACTTTCTTCAATCCATGAATAGCTCAATTTGAGTCCTTTCTACATGGAAAATCGTCCACATAAGAATGGGTCTCAAATTTGGAAAACAAAAAAAAGCTTTTTTTCAAGATCTCAAAGTTCTCAAAAAAAGCTCAAGCCTTCTTAAAAAAACACTCTCAACGTGGGAGCAAATTTCCGGCATTGATGTTCAGTGAAGCGACGAATGTTATTCTCACCAAACGAAAAATGACTTTGACTCTTTTTTGCTATTTGGAATTTTTTATATCTCCCGCCAATTCAATCATATTAAAATTTATTTAAAGTGGGAATATGTAAAAATTTTATAACAAAATACGTGAAAATAAGAACTCTTATAAAAATATGGCAACAAATATTCATGATAAACTTAACATGGCACGCGTTCTTTCGACGAGCATATGAATAACATGGGTGTCCTTACGGGCAGTTTTTCTAAAAAATTGCTTTAAAAATAGTTAACGTATCAAATTTCCCACCTTCCATCATAATATAAATAGGCTGACCATAAGAGCACCATAAGTATCGAAACAATCACGTATAAAAAACTAAATTACGACTATTGTTTCTGCATAAAAAGTCTAAAAATAAGCAAACCTAACAGTCTGCACAATCTCCTCGCGGGTCCACGGTGTTCCAGTCCATTCCAAATAATAAGTGACATTTTGAGAGGGAGTGAAAGTAGACTCGGAAAATGATGTTGATCTAATGACGCCCATTCATCAAAAGTGAAGAGCCTAAATAAAATTAGACTTTCAAAACTAAAAATGATATCCAACAATAAGATGCAAAGAGTAAAAATTGTGCCCAATTTCCACTCGGATGCTCTCTGTTAAAAATGTCAATCAAGACAAACAAAGCCTTTTTGTTATGCACTCAAATTATTGCTCGCATTCTTAATGGACCCCTTTTCTCGAGAGAAAAACCCAAAGAGTCAAAAGCGCATTGATATTAAAAATTCAAAAGCGTAAAATCTTGTAAAACTTCAATTTTTGCTAAATGTTTAGAGTTTAACTTATCAACTACAATGTAAGAGTCATCAATTAGATAGAAAAAAAGCTAGAAGCGTGCAGTAATTACCCAGTTCTATAGAACACGCGTGGTTGGGTGCCCTTTTCGTATCGAAAGCCACCCGAAAGGGCCCTAATCCCAAGCGGGTTAATTGATCCCAGTCGTGAAAGAAAGAAATTGACTTGTGTAAACACTTGTAAGAATTTTTTTAACTTTCATAAAACTAGCCTTATCCGAAATTCCGGTCGTTTTCAATTGAGCAGCGGCTTCAGACGCTCTTCGGGTATTTCGCTCCTCTCGCGAATATCGATGCTTAATCTTCGGACGCAACTAAACAATTAGTTAAACAACCAAAATAATTTCAAACTTACATGAGTGTCATCGCTGAGTTGCTTTTTTGAGCCTTCATTCAATTGCGCTTGTTTCTCGTCTATTCTGTGTTGTCTATACATTATTTCCGAGTCAAGCATCGCCATTTTAAAAAGCTAAAATCCAACCCTACTTTACAGTCAAAATACTACATGTATATTAACCTTTGTTCGTTCCGAAATATCCCTTTTTGCTTTCCATTCCGCATCAGTTAGTCTCAAAGAAACCATATTCTCTGTAAAAAAGAAAGATAGCAACATTCAAAGGAAATCATAAAGTTCCATAAAACTATGACTTAATTTACCTGAAATGGCTCTTTCCCAACCAGTGCCTGTAGTCCAGGCTCGTAAAATTTGTATAGCTGTTGCCAAAGTCATAGGAGCTGTGCGAGTAGTTGGCAAACTTCTGAATAATAGGGGTGTTAGAAGTTTTAGCCTATTACCTTGAAAATTTTTCAAGAGGAATTCGATAGGGTACTATTTTCTCCGCAGCGCAAGCAGTGGAAGACGATGTGGCTGGGTGGTAATCATCAGTCGCACAAATAATCTTAAAAAGTTTGATGTTAAAAACTACTTTTTTGGCGTAGAATTAAAAAATATATTAGCTCTATGAATGAGCACCAGGAATGGAACATTTGAATCTCTCAACACTCGAACTTACACTTTCTTACACAACTTCCAAAATCCAATAAAATGGCTTGGATCAAATAAAATAAAATCATCTCGATCATGACAGAAGAAAACCCACAATATCCTTCAGATTAGCCGGAGGTTCGTCTGGCAAAAATCTCGTCGCTTTCCAGCTAACGTACATGGCCGAATCTAAAGGCTTCATATTATACAACTAAAAAAATAGTAAAGCTATAACCTCCATGCAGATCCGCGTGATCAGACAAACGTTTGTTCGACAATGTCGGGCGGAAAGGAATTTGGGTGAAAGTCTCATTTTCAGCAAATGATTCCGCATTCTCTTCTTTAAGCCGTTCAGGTCCATAGAGAAAATTAGATCCCTAAAATCATATTTTGAATAGAAATATTCTAAAAGTATAGCTTACTTTTTCATTAATTGGCTACACTGGGCATCGGGTCTAAAATTTGCAAATGTGACCTTGAATGGATCTTTGCTGAACCAATTGTTGGTGTGAATCGTCTCAAATTGCCTAAATGCTTGAATACACTTCGCTCCGTAATAGGACAAAAATACCGAAGAAAATAATGTTGAGTTGCTGCTGTGAAGTTACTTAAATAGCGACAATCGACAATTAAATTTGACAGTGTGTCGGTTTTTTCTTTGCTGATAATTCGAGATCCATAAACTTTGTCAATCACCGCTAAAAAATTTCCTTGTGTAAAAATTTATTTGAGTTCAAAATACCTCGAAAATCTCGTCCAAACAGCTCAATCAAGTTATGAAAATTTTTGCCATAGACCATTTCCCCCGCGTCAAATTTCGCTTGTTGAGTTTGAATATACTAAACATATCAATATCTCACATAGTTAAATAATTAAACTCGACATCAAAATTAAAATTAAGATAAAAATAGCTATACCTCTTCTTTGGTTTGTTCAGCCTCTAACCCGCGACGTAGTGATAAAAAATACTCCGCTCTCTCCTCTAAAGATTGAAAAAAGATAAAAATAAGTAGCTCCAAACAAACGTGCATATGTCATTTTGAGTAGTAGCTGCCAATCAGTGTCGTTTAACGGACGAAAATCGTTTTCGCTGAAGAATTCGTCTAACATCTAATAAGAAACGGATTTTTAAAATTTACTTAATATATTGTCAGCATACCTGTCTTTCCGTAATGAGTTGAGCTAGTTTTTCTTTTTCACGAGTCGTTTTTACAAAATCCCGCAGAAAAGAGCTTGAAGGTAGATTTTCTTTACTTGTCTTTGCTGCTTCTAGGTTAAACAGTGAAATACGCCAAAAACACCAGGAAAAAACCTGTGCATTTCGATGTTGAGTGTAGTAATCGTTGAAAACTCAAAAAGTGTCGCAAACGCATCATCGAAAATTTCCGAGATTTTATATTCAAATTTGGGAGAAAAGCTTTTTGAAATAGACAACAAAACGTACAACTAGGCGGCTATTTTTGCTTTGAAACCAGTAAGACAGAAGTCAGGTATATATTTTCACAAGTGAACGTGACTTTACCATCTGAACATAATCAATCCAAATATCATTTTTATTCGAGCAAACACAAAACTACTCTTCAACGAGGCTCCTGATCAAAAACGACGGACTAGATGCGATGGATACAGGTTTTTAGCAAAGAGCCTAATCAATAAACAGAATTAGAGAGTGAAAGACAATTGAGCAATGAAATCACAATGAGAAATTCCAACTCGTTATGCAAGTTGTTTGTCTTGAGAGGCATCTTTCTTAACATGTTCCTTGCTCGAAAGAGATAAAGTCTGGCTAAGTGAAGCCGTCGAATTGTTTTCGTCATCCCAGTCCCAACGATCCTTTGCCTTAACTTCGTGTTCATCGCATGTCTAAACAAAAAAAAGGTGCAAGCTGTTTTTCACCCAAATCTCTAAACAAAATACCTGATTGATCAAGTCCATCATTGCTTCATATTTGGGAGTGCTTTCAAATTGAAGGTCATCGACCATGTTGAGAAGCGAATCGAATTGCCTGGGGCACTCGTAGAGGAACTGAACTCGTCCAGAAGTGCGGGCATGGGTTTTTGCTAGCTGAACCGCGGTGCGATCTTAAAGTCCCAATAACGAAAAGCTGATAGATTAAGTCGCAACCTACGACTGTACGCCATGGAAGACTTCCTTTCGTCATCTCGACAACCATGTAGAACCACGATTCAATGTCATCACGACGAGCTAGATCTTGGCGCTGATGAGCCTAAAAGGTTAAGTTGTTATTTTTCATCGATATCAACTAATAGTAATAATAAAATAATCCCACTGAAAGACTTCCGTAGCGAGTGGTGCCTCGCCATCCAACATCTTTACGACTAGGCAACAGGTTTCCATTCTAAAATCGGTAATCATTATTTAAATCAAAAAAAGAATATTGCACCTTATCAACGTATTTTCTTGCCAGTCCAAAATCGTACAAAAAGATGACTCGATTTTGATGGTTATCATCGCGAACACCAGGCGCAAAGTTTCCAGGCTTAATATCGCGGCTCAGGAAGCTAAAATTCATTGGTTAATCATTCCACAAAATAAAGAATCTAGCCCCATTTAGCCAACCACATGCACAACAGGAAACAACCTAAGCCTAAATCAAAAATATCCCTTTTTAGCGAGAATATAGGATCACAAACGGAGAAGTGACGGCGTCACATGGAAAACTTTCAAAATATATCTTTACAAAGTTGTGCATGTGGCTTGTATTTTATAGCTAAAAGTCTGTCGAACCCTGCCGTATGAAGTTCTTCAATTGCCTAAAGTACAAATTCTTTCCAACTTGTCGCAAAAGAAGCGCACCTTTAGAGCTTGAGCAGATGCACGAATGGCGGTAGAGAAGCTGAAACGACGATCGGGTTGTTCAGAGCGAAGTCGATGTAAATCCTTGCTGAGCAACGACATAACCATAAAGGAGTATTCGTGGCGAACAGATCCCTAAAAGAACAAAAAGTCGCGATGTTCATTAAAAAACTCTTACGTAATCCACAAGGTCGCAGATGTGTTTGCATTTCTGTTCGTTGGCCACTCGGAGCACATTCACCTCAATGTGGAGCATCGACTTGCTATATCTTTCGCATTTGACGGCCAGTTTCCTGTCAATTATGCGTACTTTGACAAACAACTTCAATCTACCGTTCTCCATCGGTAGCAAGAAAGACCGTTCCATAGCCTCCATCGCCGAGAACTGCTTGAAGACGATAGCTAAACAGAAAAGATAAAGTCAGCCAAAGTAATTTCATCAATCATCAATTTCATCAATCGCTGAGAGAATTTGAAATTTACCGTCGGTTTTCGATTTGAAGTTCATCTCCAACAACAGGCAAACGATCGGTGTTGGGTTGAGCTTTGGCGGTTTCCTTCGCTGCCATTTACAGCAAAGGTCCGAACCGGGAGGAGTTGATTGGCAGGAATGAAAAATTTTCCTTCCCGCCATAATTGATTTCTAGACGCAAATTTAAATTTTGAAATGTAAATTTAGATTTTGTAAATGTAAAGTTTGCAAGTTCGCGGCAATACTATTTACGAGTTTTTGATGGAGTCTTTTTTCAAAAGAGCCCCAGAGATTTTCTTGCCGAAACTTTGTGATTTTGTGCTTTTTGTGTTAAATTTTATATAATTTATAAAAGTTATTATGTTCAGAAATGTCAGTTGCGACAAAAAGACGATTTATGCAGAACAAAGTCGACTCCGAGTACTTTGAGCCGAAGGAGGGTGATAGAATAGCCATGGTACGCTCATCAAGAGGGAACAACTTACACGAGGCATCATTCTTAACAATTTGATTTGTATTTTGTTGGTTTTTTTAAAAATTTATTCTAATTGTTTTAGGTAGAAGATGAATTTGGAAACATTTATCTCGCGTCGATGCCGCTAAAGTTTCGGAAGTCGGTGTGGGTGATGCGAAACCAGTTTGTTGTCTTGCAACCCATCGAAGAAGGTGATAAGGTTTGTGTCATTGCAATTTAGCAACTTTATGACATCCTTTGCGATTAATCTCATTTATATTTGTATTTTAGGTGAAAGCAGAAATCGATCACATCCTTGATGAAGAAAACGTGCTGCATTTGCGAGAAAAGAAAATTTGGCCGGAAAGGTGTGCTTTTCTTGTGTAAAACTGTCATTGTCGGTTCAGATTCGAAGCACAAGCCATTCAGATGACTCGAAATGCTAAAAAGGGTGTCGAAGAGGTTGGTTGCTGGTTTTGAAAATTAAAGTTAGTTTTAATATTTTAGAAAACTGAGAGCAATTGGATAGATGATGATATGTTACCTTCTAGGTAAGATCTAAATAACTAGCCAACTATAAACAATTATCTGATTCAGTGGTGAAGATTCAGACGAAGAGGAAGACACAGAAAGTGAATCAGAGCACGAACAAAAAGTTTTTTTTTAAGTTTCTTTATATTTTTTTCATTTTTAGGACGATAATGCGAGTAAATCTGGAACATTCGAACATTATAATCCAAACCGAAAAAATGTGCCTGGGCATTTATAACCTGCCTGTTCATTTCATTTTTCAAGAAATCGGGTATCTTATTTTGTTTTAAAATTTTGATACTTTATTCTTTTTGTTGATTTGTACGTTCTTGTTGCGTTTGAAACATTTGTTGCAAATTAAATAAAAGTTCCAAAATGTGAAATGCTCGATTTCGGTTTGGTGTTGCCAATTTGGTAACTATCTAAGCTACAGTTTTACGCGGGGTTTTTATTTGGTTAATTTGATGATTTAGGATGGCGAGTGGTAATCGGGTCCCGGAGAGTCTTACAACACTCACTCCCATTTTGCAAACTCCACTTTCGGACACTTTGAATTTGCCTCTCTCGCAACAGGGGCGCATTTGTGGATTCTTCGAGGCCCAGTTTTGGAGATGTATGGAGGCATATGGAGCCAAACTCGGACGGAAATACTGCGATCTTGAACACAGGTTCTGTTTCTTATTTACAGTGTAGATAACTCAACGGGTAGAAAGTATGATTCACGATGTTTTATTTTAGAGGAGCATTTTCTGCACTTAATCGCTGAAGCCAAATATTTTCATTTTTCATTAATTTTAAGCTTTAGGGACTTCAATGAGTGCATGACAAACGAAAAGCAAACGAAAAGGGCGGAGGCAATTCGTGCTCAATATGAAAAATTGTACAAAGAAGGAAAGATCAAGACGCCCTATGTTGAAGATCATCCGGCTGCCGGCGAGTTCAAGGCTGATCATTTTCAATGGAGGCGTATTAATTAGGTGTCTTTTGTATATTAAACTTGGCTAGAATCGATATTGTATAGATTTTTTTGAATTCGCTTTTTTATAATAAACAATTTTTTATTTTCTTGTTTTTTGCAGAGGATGATAAATTCATCGAGGGTATTGTACCGTTTTTTCAGCAGAGAACCCCGTTATTTTTATAGATTTTATGAAACACGGTCATGTGAGTGTCGATTTGCATATCGTTATTTTTCTATCAAAGCTCTTTTTCGCTATTGGGATTTGAATATTTTACTGTAAGTAACAGAAACAGAAAATGCACTTGACTAACAGGGGGTTGGTATTTCTTCCTCATGATTTCGAAATTCTCGATCGAAAACACTTAAATGACATTATTCTTGGATTTTGATTCATGTTCACTGAACTTTGAAATGACAACGAGTGCTTGATCTATGAGAAAATTGAGCGGAAATCACCAGTTTGTTTGGAGAGTAAGGAGGAAAATTTCCGACTCTTTAAAAGAATGTACCGGGTGTCCTCAAATTTGCGAAAAAGAGTGGGAGGTGAGCGCGCGATGATCCAATGTGAGAGACTTCTTGAGCCTCCCCTCTTCGAGTCACCGTCTGATCCAAACTGGGGACTCCCTTTCTTTTTTTGCCCCATCCTCTTCTTGCATGTTTCTCAATTTTTGAGGATGTCTTATTTTTGGATATTCATCATTTTTGACCAGTGGCTAGTCAACTTTTGAGGGCTACCTCAACAGTTAGACCCCTCCCTTGGGCTGACAATTACCTTTTTTCTTTTTTCCTTACAATTAGGTAGGTAACTGATTTTATTGAAAAAAATTTTCAAGCATGTTCTGGTTGATTCTGAAAATTTCTTATCTGTCACGCTAATCTCTTGGGTTCTCTTTGAAATTGAGGCTTTTCAGAACGGAGTCCAAAAGTCTTTTCCTACCGCCAGGTATTGGATATTTGTTTTAGGAAGTAAGCAATTGAAACTCGGGAGGAGTGTATTTGTCTAAAAAATTGTCCCGTATACTTTATCTTTCCATACACCTGCGCAAAACTTTAAAATATTTTTAATTAATGATTGTCGGAAAAAAGGCTCGAGGTTCAAATCACGGGATTTTCACTTTCTCTTTTATGAGTCGTCTTTGCCTCTTTTATCGATTTCTTTGTAGAGAAAAAACCCGTTTGTCACTGTGTGCGGGGTGATTCACCGTTGCAGCCATTTATTGACCTGCTCTTTCAAAGAAATCGCAAAGTGCCTTCACTTATAGCAAACCTCAAGTTTATTCTTTGAAACTAGTCAGACTTGCATAAATGGAACGTCTAATCGGATTTGTTCTTTAACTTTTCCATTCTTGTTAATTAACGCAGAAAGTCTCGCCAGTCACCTCGGTGGTGTTTATTTTGGTCTCGGGCTGTATCAGGCGGTTGTCTTCTCTCTTTTTGTGTTTTCTTCAATGTATAATCTCTGTTTCTCACAATTTTTTCTTGTCTTTTCCCCCTCAGCCGGTCTCCCTTTTCTCGGCATCGCTGAAAAATAAGCATCGATTAATTAGAGCTAGCTCTTTTTTACCGTTCATTCCCCTTTCATTGAAAGTGTTTCCATTCGATTTAATTCAATTTTTTTTAATTCTCTATTTGAATTTAGATAGCAGTTATACAATTTGATCATCATGGGTAATAGTTCGTCACTCATGCTTCGCGATGAAGAGATTGACGAGATTTCCAGAGATACCGAGTGTGAGTTTATACTTTTGAGATGAATCTCAAAAAAACCCGGACCGGCTTGGTCAATTTGACATGTTTGGTTATGCCTAATATTGATTATTTACAATTAGAATAAAAATGAGTTACAAATACTTAATTAAAAGTTTAGCTAAGAGTTGGATAATTATTTTAAAATGTATAGATAACGTTTTAGTTAATCGAAACCAGATCGTCCGTCTTTATTCACGCTTTCTTTCTCTCGACAAAAAAGGTTGGTGTTTTAGAGTATACAGTCTATTTAATTTTATGGTTTAGGTCAAGGATATCTTGAACGAGATGACTTCTTAAATGTCCCAGAATTGGCCGTCAATCCACTCGGTGATCGAATTGTTGATGCCTTCTTTACTTTGGCGTAAGTTATAGAATCATCTTGGTATTTTTCTTTTTCGAATTTTTTATAAAAGTGGTTTGATTTCAGCGGTGATAACGAACAAAAGTTGAACTTCCGGCAATTCGTCCGAATTTTGGCCCACTTTCAACCAATAAACCGCGGAAAGAAGAATGTTTTGAATGGAAGACGAGAAAAATTGCGATGTAAGAAATTTCTAAAATAAGGTATTGCTAACTTCTCCCTTTTTAGTTGCCTTCCAAATGTATGACTTGAACAAAAATGGCTACATTACCCGGGAGGAATTCAAAGTGATATTGAACTCTATGGTTGGAGCAAACATTACAGCTGAACAGGTAACGCTCCTTTCGGACATTTTTGTAACCGTAAATTTTTGGTAGAAACAACATCCTTTTTATGGATTATTCTTATTTAGTTGGACAAAATTGCTGATCGAACAATTGAAGAAGCCGATGGTGATCATGACGGCCGAATCTCATTTGACGAATTTTGCAGGTAGTTTTTGTAGAAGGTTTACTGGCTAAAGTTTTTATTTTCTGAACAAATACAGCATTTCCCCTGGTTTTTTATGAGAAAATAAAAAACCGTGCTGGTGGGTTTATGTCTTGAATTTACTTTCCCGACTCAAGGCCATTCTCTGTTAGTTGCGAGCTCTCGCTTGATCACTCAAGGAGTTCTTGAGGATCGTTCAGACTAAAACGCAGAAATCACGTCACTTATGCGATTAGCCAGCTCTAGATTTCCGGTTAGAGAAAATGACTTTAGTGTCTTTAAGATATTTGACTGTCCGAGTAAATATCCTAATTTTAGAGCAATGGAAAAAACGGACATCGAGGAGAAGATGAGCATTCGATTCCTCAATTAACCGTACAATAATCGTCAACTGTCCACATCATTCGTTTCATCGAAATTCATCCTTGTTTGAGGTTAATTTATTTAACTTCTCCAATTTGAACCTAAGTCCTTTATCACCAAAAGGTTTTTCTCCGATTATCCTTGACACTTTCCCTGCTTGAAGTTTCAAATCTTTCGGGTTGAGGCATATGTCTAGTTTCTACATGTCTAATTAATTTGTTGGTAGTTATATAAGAAATTGATTTAAACGTTGCTTTTGCAGTAAACATTCCCCGTTTGAACTCTAAATGTTTTTTGTACAGACTTTGAATTATCCAGAAATTGGCAGTGATTTGTCATCTTGTGAATTTATTGCGTATGTGTGTTTAAAGTTTATTAATGCACTTTGAAGGATAAAGAATTGATAGATACAAAACTTAAATATTGGCGAGTGAATGGCATGAGTAACTGCAAGAAAAACCCGTCAAATTTAGAGGGATTCACAGACGATTTGTGATTGAAGTAAACCCATCATGGTTCAAAATGTCAATGAGGCAAACAAAATTATGCAAAGCACAAGTAGAAGCAAATAAAATAGGGATTTGTAGATTCTTAATAAAGCCTCATAATAGTTCTACATTTAAAAATGTCAACCCGTCTAACTGGTCTTAATCTAAAATTTGATACAAATAAATAAGTAAATAGTTTAAACTTCATTTTCACTCAAATTATCACATGATGAAGCCTTTGGACTACTGGGTAAAGAAGCCATTTCACTCTCAGAATCTCCTGATGCTGCATTATCTAATCGAGGCAAAGCCAGGCTATGATCTGTTCGATTTGGTGGAGGAGTTGCGGGTCTTTTCATTTGATTTCTCGCAATTTCAACTGGTTGATCGGCAAAGAAATGATTATTTTCGTGATCATTCACTTCTATTTTAGGAGAAAGATCACCGGGAAGACTGTGCGAAGATTTTCGACGAGCTTTCCACGGTTTCTTTGATGGGAAAAGACGAGGGATGTTGAAGTGAGAACCCTGGAAATGATTGGATTATAGAGTAATTGTGTAACCGGGTAACCGGACTACAGTACTCCTTTCAAAAACAAAGCACAGTACTCTTTGCATAAAGAAACCTCACCCCTTGCATATTCTTTTCCATCTCAGGATCAAAGGATTTCCTCCGAGTTTTCTTCAGCCCTGTCCAAGTGAGAAAATCGCCGGGTCCCGATTTCCTTCTTGACTCTCCGACTGGCATTGGTAGCCGGGGTGGACCCTCTTCTGACAATTCTGTGGTAGCTGAAAACAATTTTTTTGATGAGCATGCGAGAGTGGGACAAATACGATCTTTTTTTTGCGTACCCGGCTCATTAGCTCACACCCTTTTCGGGTTTTAAAAACCCCTAAAAAGCTAATATTAACTAATTTCCCTTCCAAAAGTTGTTTTTCTATGTAATTTTAGGGCGTAGAATTCAAAATTTGATATATTAGAGCTTGTGGAAGCAAACGGACGGAGTTATACATCGGGAAAAGTCGACAATTTTCCGTAATTTGATCTACCCGTTTTAGCCTTCAAATCGGTTCCACAAGCTCTGATATGTCAAAATTTGAATTCTACACTTTAAAATTGCCCAGAAAAACAACTTTTAGAACAGAAATTGATTAATATTAGCTTTTTAGAGTATTTAAAACCCGAAAAATGGTGAGCTATTGGGCAAGGTGCGGAAAAAAAGGTGCGCAAATGTCCGGGTGCGCAAAAAAAAGGTCGCATTTGTCCCACTCGCTGAAAATTGTTTTTTTAATTAATTCGTTTGATGATCATGCTAGATTGTGCTCTAATTATACTTTCAAAGTATGCCCACTCAGCTGAATGTCTTCTAATTTCGTGGGGAACAATTTCAATTTCAATTTCAATTTCAATTTCAATTTCATTTCAATTTCAAACAAAAGGAGCAGCTACGTAAAAATCTACGCAGAAAAACGGGCGCGGCTTCGTAGCTTTCATGCGCCATTTGTTTGAATTTTCCCATAAAATTAAAAGATATTCAGCTAGAGCTTAAGGGACACTTTGAAAGTATAACTCTAATCAAGTCCTACTGTAATATCCAAACACTGTAATATCCAAACACTCGTCTCTCGGATTTTTGCTTAAAAAGTAGCTGGAAATATTGGCTACGTTGAGCTTTGATGACTTTGGCTCTTCCTTTCTCGCTTACCTTCATTCACTATACCAGATTTCCTCTTTTTCGCAATTCTTGGATGATCGCTTGTTGGGTAAACCCCTTTTCCACTTGAGAATTGTCTCCCAATGCCCTGAGCCGCGGCTCTAAAATTGAGAACTCGTCGTTCAATTCGAGACATTTTTTTTTGCGTATACTCGAAATGAAATCTGCAGATTTTAACCTACCGTAAATACTGTAATAGTACCCCACCCCCCTCGTACAGTCTCGTAGTCGCAAAAGTTTTTTAGTATTTCATTTTTTTCAAAGCACCCGTACTTTCAAAAAATGCGCTTTTGGTATCAAAAAATAGCCCTGATCTCAGCTATTTTTTGATACCTAAGCGCGCATTGTAGCATAAACCAGTGTCGAGAAAAACGCGTCCAAAGCTAGACCACGCAACGCTCCGCACCGTCATTATGGAAGTGGGGTACTATTACAGTATTTACGGTAATTTGTTTATTAGATTGAAAAAGATACAAATTCTAAGCCTCTGATCAATTTTTGAGCTTCGAAAGAGTTTGGGAATCGTTTGAGTGAATCAAATTATGAAAGATGTTCAGTTGAGTGAAAATTGGGTGATGTTCAGTTGAGTGAAAATTCACATTGGGTGTGAAAAGATGAACTCAAGACGTATTACTGTAGATTGTTGCTAAATAACTAAAATAATAAATCAAATAACTCCTAAAAATATAATTTTAAAGTACCGCCCCCAAGTGTCCCCACATGGGGACACTTTTTGATACTGAAATACTTCGGTTTCTTTTTTCTCTAGGGCTTTTTTAAAATCCTGTGATAGATGAAATTTTTTAAAATCTTCATATTCAATTTTCTCTAGCACAGAATTTTTAAAAAAGTTCGAGAGAAAAAAGAAAACGAAGCATTTCAGTATAAAAAGTGTCCTCATATGGGGACACTTGGGCGGGGGGTGCGGTACTTTAAAAGTATACCTCAAAAAAAACCAAAGAAAAGTATAAATATAGATATGCGTTTTTCATTTCTTTTCTACCTCAACATGCTACTCATATTCCCGATGATATTCATCCCGCCTGATTTGAGTGAAGCTGTTCGACTTCTGCCCCGTCCGCCAGACAAATCCTCTTCGATATCCGGCTCCTAAAAAACAATGAGAGGGTAGAAATATGCTTTATACTTATTTCCTTTTTTACTTTTGATTCTTTATTTCATTCTCTTTCATCCTTTCTGCCTCCCCTTGTATTTCCTCTTTCTTCTCCAGCAAGAAGATACCGAATAGCTCAGTGGTAGAGCATCTACCGAGCATCTGCGCGTGAAGTAAAAAGGGCGAGGGTTTCAATCGCCTCTCCGGAAACCTTTCTTTGCCATTTCTTGCTTTATTTTATTAAATTACAATCGAGTCTCAATTTAACGACTCTCTATACAACGATTTTGTAATTCTAAAGCGCGCCCTTGGTTTGTGCGTGCTTTAGAATTTCAAAATCGTTCTGCCCAGCCAAACGCAATCGTTGGTCGTTCAGGGCAGCTACGCAAGAAATTTGAGACATGTTTTAGAATCGTTAAACCGAAATTTTTGTTCCCGAGTGAATCGAGAGTCGACTGTATTATAAGGCAGTTCAATTCGGCTCCTTTCCTTTACAAACTCTAACACAATGATCCCAACTTTAAATTTAATTGATCAAAGTGAAAGACTATTTGACAAACAATCTGAAAAACAAAAACAGAAGAAAACAAAAATAGAAACCTATTCAAAATCTATGTCTGCATTTTTTTGCATCTAAAAGATTTTTATGTCTTTTGCACAACGGTGCTTATTGCTTTTAAAGGCTCAAAAACAACGTGGTAACTATATTTTACACTTGTTAAAACAAAGCCCAAGATCAGTATTACTATATCTACAGGGTGCGTCATAATTATTGCAACAAGAGTTCAAAGACCGTTTTCCAAACAGCTTTCTTATTTTTTTGCCCCCTTTTTTGTTGTGTTGCGTTCTATCTTCTTTATTCTTGCCTAATTGCCTCCCGCTCACACGAAGAAGACGGTTCAGGACTGGTGTGTGGCCAACTTTCCCTCAGTGATCACCAAGGATGAATGGCCTCCAAACTCACCGGATCTCAATGTGATGGACTTTTCCATTTGGGCAATCTTAGAGGCTAATGTCTGCTCTTTGACCTTGAAGAAGTCTTTGACCAAAGGATGGAAGGCGACTCCTCAAGATGACATTCGGGCCGCAGTGGAGGCATATCCGAACCGATTAAGGGCTGTTATCAAGGCAAAAGGCGGTCATATCGAATGATCTCTTGTTTCCTTATTTGTTACTGTTAAATAAAGCTATTTCTGTTTAAAAATCTTCTTCCAGTGAAACTTCTTGGTGTGCAATGTCTTGAGTATCTTGTTGCAATAATTATGACGCACCCTGTAGATATTTAAAAATCATCCAACAGATCACCATTCCTCTCAACACTACCTCAACTTGTATATGTGGCAGTGTACGGTAGAACTCGTTTGCCATCAATTGCAAATAACCATATCCCTCGGTGGCCTGGAAATGAAATTTCTCCTCAAATTCGTCCGTTTCCCCCAATTTACTTGTTCCAAAAGAATCGTGAAAATTGTCAAGAGTTCGTCGAAACTTGGCCGATCATTGGGTAACTCTGCCCAACAACGATTCATCACTTCCTCTCTGAAAAAATACCGTAATCTTGATCCTGGGTTTTTTTCTAATCTATCAACTTTGGCATCTTTTGATGCTCTTTGCAAACCTTAGGAATTACCGTATTTCTTCGAATAGAAGACCGGGTAGAGTATCATCGTGTACTCCTGCGTAGCAGCCCTTTTTAAAATTTCTTTTCTTCATAAAAGCTTTCAATCAAGTGCTATAGAACTGGAAAATGGCTCAAAAATCTGTTAGCTCATGTGGTATTTTTGAGTCATTTTCCAGCCCTATAGCACTTGATTGAAAGCTTTTATGCAGAAAAGAAATTTTAAAAAGGGCTGCTACGCAGGAGTACGCGATGGCACTCTTTACCCGGTCTTCTATTCGAAGAAATACGGTAGATGAAAAGTAGCCATCAGAGCTTTTTCGAAAGCTACCTCGAGCTATCTTTCGAGCTAGCGAAAGCTACGAAAGCTATCTACCGTATTAGAAAACGTTTTTCAACAATCTTTCCAATACTGTCTCCATTCATTTCCCCAAAACAACTCACAATTTATCCGTCGCCAGCAATGGTCTCTTCGGTCGTTTCCCCTGTTTGAGCGCACTCAAAAGTGCTTCGGGCTCAATATCAGAAAAGGGAATTTCCCCCATCGAGTACATCTCCCACAAAACCATTCCGAAAGACCACCTGGAACAAATGTATTGTACAAATGTACAAATGTACAATGTAAATGCCTAGTATTTAAAGTATTTAAACAAATGTATACTTAAATTTTTCAAAGTACTTAAACAAATGTGTATGTTGTGTCCGATTTGGGAAGATTTGAATTAAATTTCGTAAATTTTCATTAGAACCCTTCTGATTTAAGTTTTTAACCAAACTTTTGTCATTTTACGTAATTTTTATGGCAAATAGGCCAATTGAAGAACAAAAAAGTAAAATGGATCATTTTAAGCGCTTCCTCACCGCAAAATACGCAAAAATCTTAAAAAAATTAAGTAGAAATGCTCATTAAAGGGTCTATAAGTGTTCATTAATACTATTAATACTAATACTTCTTACGCAAAACCTTTTATAGATTCATAAAAACTAAGAAACAGTCGAGATAACAGTAAAAAAACATGTGATTGTAGCACTTGGGATTGTTTGAATCCAAATCGGACACAGCAAATAGTTAAATGCCCCAAAGTACCTAAATGTCAAAGTACTTAAACAATGTATACGGAAATCTCTTGCACAAATCAATGTTTTTGCCCCTTACACATCGCTTTTCATCGAGAATTTCCTCTGCTCCAAGGACTCGATCGCTAGCCATTTTATAGGAAGTTTTCCTTAAAAAAAAAAGATAGTACATAAAATATTTCTTTTGGTACTTTTCCAATATCGGGGGAGCGGTCCGATTATCGGGAGCGCGAAAGGAAAATCGGGGGAGCAAACTTTGGCAGCGCTACATATGTCTTATATTATACAAACTACCGCCATAAAATCCGCGAATTACCCGTTATTCTCACAACCTTTATATTAGATCACAAAAGTGACTTAAACAATCTAACACCCAGCGAAATGGATCTTTTCCCTTTGAGCGGACTTTCATCGACTCGCCACAGTTGCAAATCCACGACTGGATGACTCCTTTGGTGACGAAATAATCGATTGCCGTCGATTCCTTGAACGCACACGACACTACGTCCTTACGACAAAATGTCGGAGAACCGCAACGTCGTTAAAGTTTAAAACAAAACGTTGCAGTTAAAATACAGTCCCGCAAATGCATTTTTCGAGGGAAAAATTTGCTTCTCTGCAAATTTGCTCCTCCAATATTGGAAAAGTACCTTTCTTTTTAAAACATATGAAGTCACAAACCTGATGCATCCATAATTTTGTCGTTCGCGCTAACACAGAGGCCGAAATCTCCGATCTGTAAAAAGATTAAAATTGTAAAAGAATGTTAGCTAGTATAATCATTTCGATATTTTCTTTTGCAATTCACAATTCATGATGTAAGAATCAGAGCAGCGAAATTCATTCAAAGCAGTTTGAGTCTAGAGCGAGATCTACACAAATCTAGCACCAATCGAAAGTCTTGTTCCAAAATCAAGAGTAACATATTACGGTTTTCGAAATCTTACCTAAACTGCTAAATCTTTTAACCCAGAAACACTAATCCCAAATGATTTGCCAAAACGAGAGGAATAACAAGACAATTCGCGACTCGGTTGGATTGACTAACGTTTATAGAGAAAAAAAATGTTTAGATAACTTAGATAACTTTATCGGTGGTAAGAAAGACACGGGTCCGAAAACTATGAAATTAGAAAAACCGGGAAAAGTACAGAAACTCTAAAACAAAAACAAACAAAAACAAACAAAAACTGAAAAAAACTAACAATTTAAAAACATGGAAGCAGGGGTGGAAACAATAAAATGAAGAGGGAAGTGTTAACAATAAACAGAATTTTATAACGGCATAGAGAAGGGGGAAAATACACGCGCAAAAGACACAGCGAAGCGCCGGACCGGGCAACGATTCTTTAAAAGAATGAATTTTGAAGCAATGGGGACTTTGTTTTATAGGGCGAAAGGATGTGCGCGGATGTGCGGCGTCCACAAACCTGATGCATCCATAATTTTGTCGTTCGCGCTAATGCGCAATGGGAACTTTCTTTTATAGGGCGCAGGGAGACGCCGCACATCCGCGCGAAATAAGGCGAAAAATCGTTTTCTATCCGTTTTTCCATGTTTGAATAGCCATTCAACGCAGAAAAATGTGCTGATTTCAATGGTAAAAAAATTATCAAAATCCGTCTGATACATTTTTTAAAAATCGCGTTTTATCGAAAAAATTGCACTTTTACAAGCAACTCGCTCGCAGTGACCAACTTTCGGCGGCTCGTTTTCAGCGTGGTCGAAAGATTGCGCCCTCAAAACCGATAACTTTTGTGTGGACGTTTATAAAGATCATTTTGATACCAAAAAAATAAAAATTGATCAACTCTGCGAAGACTTGATGCCTTTTTAAGTTGAAAATGACGTTTTGCGACTTTCTGCCCGCTAAAACGTGAGCAATCGCCAACAACCTATTTAAAGCAGCCAGACATTTATATTACTCTATTTGAATTTGTCCTTTTTCCCAGAAGCTTTTAACTTATATTTAGCTTATCTTATAATTTTTTCACCATTGAAATCAGCACATTTTTCTGCGTTGAATGGATACTCTAACGTGAAATTCTCATAGAGAACACCATTTCGCGCGGATGTGCGCCGTCTCAAGTACGGTAGCTTAGGTGTATTTTAGAATTTAGAGTTGGCAAGTTGCTAACCCACTCGAACTGTGGGAAGTGGGGTTTTATAAAGATTTGGTCTCAAACCAATAATATTTAATAGTAGCTTAATAGTAGGCCCACTGGCTTTGCATTTACGTTGTAGACTAATTTTTAGTCTTCAATCATCGACTTAATCTAGCCAAAAGATACAAACCTTTGCATTTTTAAGGCTATCGATCATGATATTCCGAGCGGCCAGATCTCGATGAATCATATTGCGAGAAACAAGATATTTCATCCCGCTTGTCATCTGAAATGTCATTTGGAAAAAGTATTAGGTGTGTGAAAAAGTAATCCACGTTTTTTATTTTTAGCTGATGACCAAATAAGACGCTGTCTTCTCGAAAACCCTCGTTCAACCTCTTCAGAAATAGGCCTTACATTAAATTGTGATGGGTCAACCGTAAGGAAACGCTTGAATGCCATGAATTTTACCAAAAAGTTGGACAAATGGATACCGCATGAACGATAACGCGCGACCACATGTCTCTTTACAGACTCGACAAAAAATCCAGAGTGTTGGATGGAAGGTTTTACCACATCCACCTTATAGTCCAGACCTTTCTCCATCTGATTATTATTTATTTTTGTCTCTGTCTAACTTTTTGGCCAATAAACGGTTCAATTCCGAAGAAGATGTCAAAACCGAGGTTGATCTTTTCTTCGCCTCTAAGGACCAAGATTTTTATTATCCTGGAATGTCTTTACTTGTAGAACGTTGGCAAAAGGTTGTTCTTTTGAATGGTGATTACTTCATTGAATAAAAATTATTTTAACGAAACTTATGGTCTTTTATATTTAAACGTTAAAAACGTGAATTACTTTTTCACACACCTAATATTTAGGTTCCAATCCTAAGAATCACTAAAGTACTTACTTGCCACGCGAAATGGAGAAACTCTTTGGTGCAATCGATTTGCTCATCGATTGAGCGACTCTAAAATGTTTTTTTTTGGGCATTGAGCTTTAAAATTATTAGCTGTTGATTCTATTACCTGATCCAATTCTGTTCTCCTCCGTAAAATATATCGTTTAAGATCTCGATTCGCGCAGTACTCCAACACGAGGCACGAACGTTTTGCGGACTGAAATCTGGATTTTAACACATTCACGACGATCCGGCCCACTGGCTATGCTGTTGACGATTATTTTTGGTGTTAATTAAGCATTTTGTTATTCATTTTGCCGAAAGTTCTTGATAACTTTGTACTAGTTTCAAGAGGAGATTCAGAACTGGAGATGATCTTTAAGAGGAGATGGTATCTGGTAGAAGTTTAACATGATGAAAACAATTAGAGATTCTTTATGCTGTCACTTCATCTCAAGTAAACTTTAGCGTTCATAGAGAGTGGAGTAGATCGAATTCAAAATCCTTAGGCAAATCTAGAAGTAGTAGATTTGAATTCGATCTACTCCGCTCTCTATGAACGCTAAAGTTTGCTTGAGATGAAGTGACAGCATAAACAGTCTTTAATTGTTTTCATCATGCTAAACTTCTACCAGATGAAGCGGATGACATGGATGATAATTCTGACGAAACAATTCAAACAATTCAAAGTCAATGGGACGACTTGAAGAGGCCTACAATTTCTCGGATTTTATCGATGTTGATGAGGATTTGTGCACTACTAGAGTATTTTCCACTCAGCACACCACCAAGATGAAGAAAGTGACGATGACGACAACATAGAATCATCAATTATTACCATGCAAGATGCTGGCAAAGCTGTCGAAATTTTTGAGAAATTTTTAGAGCACAACGGCACCTCTAAAGCTATGGAGCTTACGGAAAAAATGAAAGAATGTTTTGAGGATATTCGCCTCCACCGTTCTCAACAAAGCAAGATAACGAATGTTTTTACAACTTTATAAAAGTTTAGTTTCACAAGATTGTATTGTTTTTGGGGCCATCACGGTTGCGCCACGAAAATTGCGACGCAAGCCCAAAAAGGAAAAATGTGCCGACGAATTTTGCGCCGAAAGACCAGAAGTATAAATTGTGCCGCCGAATTTTGCGCTGCGAAATTTGCGCCACAAGAACAGAGGCATTGGAATTGGACTTTCGGCACAAATCTCGTATGCTCAATTTAATAGGAACCGTATTGGAACCGTATTGGAACCGTAATGGAACCGGATTGGAACCGTTTTGGAACCTTTTAGATCAAAATAGGAACCGTATTGGAACCGTGTTGGAACCGTATTGGAACCTTTTGGCTTGCGGCACAATCGTCATGGTTGTTCCCTTGTTTATGCCTTTCATTCCGTTATAGAAGAGTCGACTGTACTAGTTTCCAAGAGGAGATTCAGGGCTATCGAAGGCCTAGAATAGTTTCGTTTATCTTCACCTTTCACCAAATTCTTAGTAAAACAGTTAACGACTACGCGACTGTACCCCCAAAATGCCGAATGTGTTAAAAATAGGCAAATTGAATGTAGCAAATTTCATATTATTTTAATTTCTTGTAATTTCTTGAATGTACAGTGTACCTGTACTGTGTACTTGAATGTACCTGTGTACTGCATCCCAACATGTTCACCAAATGCTCGTTGAAACCGAGGGTTTTCATCTATAAATTGAATAGTTGCTAAAAGAAAAAGGTTTCTCATTTTCTAGCGATATTCTTAAATAGCTCTATTACAATGTTTTCTAAAAACTGCCTAAACCTACCGTATCGATTTCTTTCAAGAACATCTCCAATTCTTTCTCCGTAGCGTGCTTGTGGATGATTTTCACCGCAACGTCACAGTCTCTAGAAAGATTTCAAATGTTTTCATTGGATACACTTCTTAAATATTTTGAATACGATATTTAACAGATATTTTTGCAATACCTAAACGGTCCACTCTCGTGCGGATAATAGTGCTCCAAGCCGGGTGATGAACCGAGCATTTTGCCTGTAAACGAAATTTCGTTCACTTTTTTCTTGAGTGTTCAAACTCTTTAGACTTGAAATCTATAACATATTCGATTGCATTTGCTCACCTTTATACACCAATCCGTAGGCTCCATTGCCCAATTTCTCCGAGCTGACAATTAGATGATCCCAAGTGATTTCCCAGAAATCGACACTAGAAATTGGTTAATTGATGCTATTGTACGGTTGGATTTAAAGAAGTATACCGGGGTTACCGGTGGTTTTATTTTGTACACACATAATCACAATTTGCACATTAAGACCTAGGGAATATTCTATCGATTGTGGAGGATGGGACGATGTAGGAGACGATGTTGGAGGGGAAGGCTGCCCGCTTTATATGAGCTTGCGCCTTAGATAAGTCTACCCATTTACATAAGTCTACTAAGTCTACCCAGTCTACCCAGTCTAACCAGACTAACCGAGCCCAACGTTGCTTAACTTGACAGATCTGACGGGATACCGTGTTTCAACGTGGCGAGGCCGTAGCAATACTCCAATTCCCGCCAATTGGACTGTTCTTTCGATTTTGTAGAAAAAAATACAGGTAAATTTGAGGCAAGAATTGATCTCAAAAATTTGGGTTATCAGACATTTGATACGCGCCCCGCCCCTTTTGCCATTGGCAATCTAACTTTCGGTTCAAATATCTTGGTGTTGAGCTGTCCAATTTATAAATTATTGGTATCATCAGATGCGGCAAGTCTTTCTCTGTCGATTGATACAACAATTATTTAAATTGAACAGCCCAATACCAAGAAATTTGAGCTCAAAGTTGGATTGCCGATGGGAAAGAGGGCGTCCACTCACATATCATCAAGATCGTCTTCTTCTCCACTTCTTCTCCTCTCCGGCCTTTCTCCTTTCGCGAACTCGTTCTCCGAATCGTCTTTATTCTTGAAAAGATACAATTTCTGCATCCACATCAACTTTTGTCGATAGATCACTGTGCAAACAAGAAGAATCACCATTAAACCTAAAAATTAATAGGTTTCCCATTTTCCTCAAAAGACTCACCAAATGAAACCCCGATTATAATGAACCAAATAGTCGTATCTGGTTTTTTCTCATCTTTTTCGTCTTTGTCTGAATATACAATTTTTTCTAAAACAAGCGTATAAAAATGTTTTTTTTACTAACCTGGTGGTGGACAAATGTCTTCTTCAGGTCCTTTTTCTCTTTCGAAATCATCATCCAAAAAGAGATTTCTCGTCGGTATTTGAGTTAGCGTTTCGTAGTCTGTTTGTACTTCCTCAAAAAGGATTTCTTTGTACTTTGAACCTTTCCTCGATCTATTACTTTTGTGAATGCGTAGACTTCAATGACTCCATGTTGCTGTAACCATTTGATTGATGCGTATTCTATCGATTCATTCGGATGATTAAGAACATAGACGAATTTCTAACAAATAATTCTTCAGTTAAAGTTTGCCAAAAAACTTTCACTGATCGTACCATGGAAACAAAATCGGTCATCAGAATCACTTTTGGTCCTCTTTCCTTTTTCGCTCCCTCATTGACGAGCAGCGAATAGGCTTGATTGAACATTTCCAATGTATACGTTTCATTCTCATCTTGAACCACATCTGGAAAGAGAATCTCTATCTTCTAGTTAAGGGAAAAATTATTCCAAAAAATTTGAGCATAGTGACGCTCAAGAAAGCAGAGGAAAGCTTACTAGGAAATGGTGGTGACTCAAAGTGGTTTTTGATTCGACCATCTAGCTCATCTTATAGAATCGGCTATGGGGATCCAAATCCGCTTTTAGCTTTTGCAGAAAGCTTCGCAATCGCCAGATATATGGCATAGGCAGGGTATATGGCCAGATATAGGCACCTCATAAACCTTATCGATATCGAAAATATCGATTATCGATACTTATCGATATTTGAGTATCGATAAGTACTGAGAAGCTTTTTAGGGCACCCACCTATGGGGATTTGCTATGTGTCAGATAGCAATCAAATACTGACATTCTTGGCTTTCCAATGAAACAATTTTCGGGGCGTTCTGCGGGGGCCGGGAGCGGATTTAGGGTCCCGTGGGCGATTCCGTGGGATGGGCTGGTTCTCGAGTCGGGGGGCCACTTTGGTTCGCTATCATTTTCTAGTCAGTTGCTTGATTGATTCCAAAAGGGAACACCTATCTATCGGGAGGGTATGTTAGATGGCGAGCGATTGTGCGCCTGCACAAAGAACACCTCAGGCCCTCTTTGCAGGGATTGTTCTTTTGCTTTGTAGATGGCCCAAAAAAGATATTCAGTTGGAAATTTGTACCCGGGATTTTTCAGGGTTGGGGAATCGATTGGAGCTATTCATTTTATTATTGAGTCTACCAATTGGAACTCGGGTTTAATTGGTCTAAACTTTTAACTCATATGGTCCAATCAAATCTTATTTTATATCATTTGCAAGTCTAAAGTTTCCTTATAAAACTATATAAAAAGTTAGCATAAATATTATCCTTGAATAACAAACAAACAAAAAACCAACATTATCCTTAGTTCTGAGCTCTCAAAGCCTACTGATTCATTCAAAATTTCGGCAAAGAGCTTGAATAACTCACGAGCTGGAATGATGATCGTTTCGTGTTGCAGTCTTCCAAAAAATGCGCTCAGCTGAATTTGAATTTGAAGTTTCATTTGAAGCTACTTGAAGAGCTTGAGCTACTTGAAGAGCTTGAGCTACTTGAAGAGCTTGAGCTACTTGAAGAGCTTGGGCTACTTGAAGAGCTTGAGCTACTTGAAGGGCTTGAGCTACTTGAAGAGCTTGGGCTACTTGAAGAGCTTGAGCTACTTGAAGAGCTTGAGCTACTTGAAGAGCTTGAGCTATTTGAAGGGCTTGAGCTATTCGAAGGGCTTGAGCTATTCGAAGAGCTTTTTATCAATTTAAAAAAGATTTGTGTCTTTTTTTTGGACGAAAGCATTCTTTGTCTTTCCCCACCTCATTGGGATCTCTCATCCAATCCGAATCCGTGTCATTCTCAGCCAAAAAGCGCACAACCATATTGTAACGAGTCTTGAAATGATACAATTTTAGAATATTTTTCTTTTAGAGTCATTCAACCCAACCAAACAATCATCCAACGGTGTTTCCACAAAATAGCGCGCGTTTTGAAACTCAGTCTCATTCGTGTTATTTGAGAGGGCAAAAATGTAAATCAAATGTTGAAAATCCTCAGAATAAGCCGATGTTGGAACAGGCTATAATATTCAATATTCAGCTATAATATTATTTCATTTAATAAAGTAATAATATTGATACCGTAAATACTGTAATAGTACCCCACCCCCCATAATAACGGTGCGGAGCGTTGCGTGGTCTAGCTTTGGACGCGTTTTTCTCGACACTGGTTTATGCTAAAATGTGCGCTTAGGTATCAAAAAATAGCTGAAATTCAGGGCTATTTTTTGATACCAAAAGCGCATTTTTTGAAAGTACGGGTGCTTTGAAAAAAATGAAATACTAAAAAACTTTTGCGACTACGAGACTGTACGAGGGGGGTGGGGTACTATTACAGTATTTACGGTAATAATATTCAAATAATATGCATTTAATTGAACAAACCGTGGAAGGTGTTGGGGTTGTTGTCGTTGTTGTCGTTGTTGTTGTGCTTGTTGATGTTGATGGAGGAAAAGTTGGATAAGGACAAGACCAATTTGCATTGTTGTAACATTCTTGCATCGCCACACTGCCACATGGAGGAAGACAGTGCTATAAAGTGCTAGATTTCTTGATTGGCTTTATGTTGTTATCAGATTGGAAAGAAGAATTGCTGTTCGGATTTGCTTTAAATTGAGCTAAAAGTTCGCTAAATGAAATCGTTAATCTTTTTTATTTGAAGAAAACCACATATTCTTTGACTAATCATTCATTTACAGGGTGACCAAGAATGACCGCAACAACGACGTATTATGTTATGAGCCCCATTTCACTTTTGGCTTACCTGTTTTTATGATTTTTGTGTATTTTTCTTATTTTATGGTATGACTACTAACTTTCAATACATTAGTATGCTTGTTTTCAGGAATGATGAAAGCGTCTCCACATCGATCGACATCGACAATCGATCCTTGAGCTCAAGCAGCGTGTTCAGGCGAGCGAGATCTCAAAGCGCCTGAATGTCCCCAGAAGCCTCGTTCAACGATCTTAACCCATTGAATTACTCAGTCAGGAGTGTTCTTGAAGCCAGGGCATGTGCAAAACCACATAAAAATATCGAAAGTTTGAAGAAGGTGCTCATCAAAGCATGGGATACCCTCGATGATGCCTATTTGCTCGCCACGGTCAACGCGTTTCCCAAACGTTTGCAGGCCTGTCTGAATGCCGATGGAGGCAAATTTGAATTTAATTGTTAATTTGTTACTGTTGTCTGTTGAATAAAGATATTAAGTTAACTTTTCGAGATGGGTTGCATATTTGGTTAAAAGCCAGGCCTTTTGTGTGTTGCGCTAATTCTTGGTCACCCTGTAGATCAAATCTGGGTTTGATCTAGAGATCTAGATTGAATCCAGATTCGATCTAGAGATCTAGATCGAATCCCGGATCCCGGATCGGATCTTCTTTCTGAACTCCGTTAAAAGCCAGGCCTTTTGTGTGTTGCGCTTCTTGGTCACCCTGTATAAAAAGCGGGCAAGACTTTCCGGCTAAAACCAATAGTTTTGGACTCTCTGTGTTTCTCTCAAAGTTTTCTAAAGCGATTTTTAACAATAAGTCTCAAAACCTACCGTAACCTTGGCTTTATTTTTTACTTGAATATTCTAAATAGCGTTGGGTAGGCCTGCTACTGTAAACCATGCCTCAAAGTCAGTTAAATCTGATCGTAACCCAGGCTCAGGCTCAGGTTTCGACTACTGTATCAACTACAAAACAAGGCAAAAAAGAAAAGGAAATAATAAAATCCCAGGATCAAGTACGTTTACGGTAGCCGAGACACTCTTTAGAGTGACTATCTTCGCCAGTTTTTGGAAAAAGAACAAGAGTACGGAAGTTTTCAAAAAAATTCGCATCTTTTGAAAGAAAAATTCGCATCTTTCTGAAACCAACCGCTATCTCATAAATGCAGGATATATTGTTGACTTGTAGGAGATGTGTAGTAACATTCTCGTAATGTTTCTCGAAACTCTCATTTGTTATGTCTAAACAAAGGAAATCTTATCTTATTTTATATCTTATTGGGTTGATGGAAAAGTCCTTTCCGATTTTTTGGGAGAGTACCTTAAATTTGTCGAATTTTGACGTTTTATAGCTCATCCTAAAGCTGAATTCAAGACGGATCGATTGGTAAAAACCGTTTTGAGATATCTCTTTTCGAAAAGTTTTTACAGCTATTTTAGTAAGGGACGGCAGAGCCAAAAAATGGCTGTTTTCACGTTTCGCTAGTTTTCCGTGCGGAAACCTAGGCTAAAAACATGTGTTTCGTGATCGGCGTCAAAAATAACCCCTAGAATCGGAAAGGACTTTTCCATCAACCCAATATTTTCTTATCTCATTTTGATTTTAATGACTTTATGACTTTTAGAAATCCAAAAGAACAAACCAGGTCTTCCCAGCAAAACCACTGTCAATGTAATGCATGAAGCGCTGGGTAAAGCAACCGGGAAATCCTAATTTTATCCAATTAAAATATCCAATTAAAATATTCAATTGTGTATATAAAAATTGAGACTTTTAAGAATCCAGAGTGAAATTCGAAGAGACGATTTGTGATGAGAATTACCGTATTGTACAGGCAAGGCTTGATCTCTTTCAACTGGAATTTTGTTGAAAAGAAAGATATTTTTTTAAAAAAACTATGAAATGAAACTTCTTTGAACTATGAAAACTATGAAATGAAACTCACTTCAGCTGTGAAAACATAGCTGAAATTGGCAGTGCCAGTCTCTTTCCAGAAATCTGTGCTGTTATCGGTGTTACCAAAACGGGAAACCTAAAGAGAAGAAATGGTGACAAGAGAGGACTACGGTAAGCCCGAGAATTCACGCTTTTTAGCTCATCAAATTATATGAATAAACTTTCTTTATTAAAATCTGCTCTTCTTGACTATGGTAGACATAGGAAAATTCCAATCCGAACCTAATTTCACCTTCGTTTTCTCGGCCATTTCTTGACCGATTGCTTTTAAATTTTGTCTACAAATAGAAATCAACATTTTCAGCTTGTAGACAAAATTTAAGAGCAATCGGTCAAGAAATGACCGAGAAAACGAAGGCGAAATTATTGGAATGGAAGCCGGATTGGAATTTTCCCATGTCTAATGTACGGTAGTTTACAGAAAGTTGGCAAATTTTAGAAAAAACATTGCTTACGTCATAGCGAAATAGTGCTAAACAAACCCATAAGTTGTGGTCAACCGAGTTGAATTGTTTATCACAGGTATCCTCATCGCAACAAGCTTTTTGCGTCTCTTCTGTCTAAAGAATTTCAATAATGGTCAGATTTGTCAGATTCGATTTTCTATATGCAAATTTTCAACTCCAGCCTAAACCTTGGAATCTGGCTTTATCTAGCCTGGTTTCATAGGACCTAGCCCTGGACTCGCATCGCTTACAGTCGTCATCAAAAGTCTTGGCCGGCCATAACCTTGGTCATAGTCTTGGCCGGTCATAGCCTTGGTCATGGCCTTGGCCGGTCATAGCCTTGGTCATAGCCTTGGTCATAGTCTTGACCGGTCATAGCCTTGGTCATAGCCTTGGTCCATAAATCACATCCAAATCGATTGACCACAAATAATTTTATGTAGCATTTTCAAAGGTTCTTAAAATGAAACATTTAGCTTTTTGACATCCTTTGAACTAACCTTTAAAGCTAACTTTTGAAGCTTTATAATCGAAAAACCTTATTTGAGCATGATTTTTAAAGATCTGTATTTCAAGAATGAATGTATCTGCTTAACGAGCCCGGGCGAAATTTTCAGACTTTATAATCGGCAGACTGCCTTGTTCTTCGATTTTTTTTACTACCCAAATCTCCTTCGAGCATGGAAGCCTCTTCGAAGCCAGTTCCCCCAAAAAGCCCTTATTCTAGGCTTCATTTTGATACTAAACATGGCTAGGTTCTGTTTTGCCATTCTTTAGATTTCGATCATTTTAAATAAAATTTTTCTGGACTCGTTAAGATTATCGAGTCTGGCGAAAGACTGATCAAAATCTAAAAAATGGCAAAACAGAACCTAGCCATGTTTAGTATCAAAATGAAGCTTAGAATAAGGACTTGCGGGGGGACTGGCTTCGAAGAGGCTTCCATGATCGAAGGAGCTCTGGGTAGTAAAAAATCGAAGAGCGAGGCAGACTGTCTGAAAATTTTGCCCGGACTCGTTAACCAGGTCTAGATCCCATTGAAAACGATTATAATGGCATTGGGTCGTCTATTACTTATTTATTCATTTTGTTCTGATGAAAATGAAAGACTATCGACAATTTTGAAGCCTTGAACAAAATCTGAGAAAAAGGACCTTGCCCTCTTATGCAAAAGTGGCTTGAAAAATTCTATTTAGAGTGACATCAAAAATCTAAGAATATCTTCTGAAAGCTCTCACAAAATACTACAAAAAAACTAATTGGGATCGATTTATTTGAATGCGATCTAACGGGAGAAAAATGAGAAAACATTGGCCGACCAAGACTTTTTTTGGCGACTGTATTTCGTTCTTTCTTTCTTTCTTTCTTTCTTTCTTTCTTTCTTTCTCTCTTTCTTTCTTTCTTTCTTTCTTTCTTTCTTTCTTTCTTTCTTTCTTTCCTTCTTCCTTTCATCTTTCCCCTTGTCTTTCCTTTTTTCTCTTGGCAAGTTAAGGCGCTGAATAGCTCAAGTGTTAGAGCAATTGTAAAGCAAAAGGTCGAGGGTTCAATCTCCTCTCCGGAAATTTGACTTTTTCTTGCCAATTCCTTCACTTCTTTATTACAGGATCCGTTTGGAAAATCTGCTTGAATGAACAATGACAAAAGAAACCCTGTTAAACATTGGATAAGCGACAACAGCATATCCGACTCCAACTTTCAGACATTGACTCGCCATTGAAGAGAGAGCTGGTGTAAGAGCCTGAAAGAGGTCAAATGAAAAGGCGACAATGCTCAGATTTTCATTCCTACCATCCGAAATTCTTCATTCGTTACATAATCCGGTGATAGATCAAGCAGAAAAAGAACTTCACAGTAATGACTCTACAAGTAAATCAATAATAATTAAAAATTACGGAATTTACGGTAAAGTTTCGATCTTTTAGTGAAGGTAAGTGGTCCCAATTATCGCTTGTACATTCATCAGCTGGATCGGGTGGAAGGGGAGTACTGCCCGGATCGACAGCTGAGAAACAGATACGATAAAGTTGTGGATACGATAAACATTGTGGATACGATAAAGTTTACTATGTAATTCTTACATTTTATTACATTTACTTGTCTATTGGATTAGGCTGAGTCATCAGCTGGTTCTTTCATCCAGCTGATGGCTTTCACTCAAATCTCATTTTCTAATTGAATAAGTCTCAACTACTATATGAAATACGGTTTTTTTTTCATTGTTCCAATCATTTTCTCTTGCAAATGACTTTTTAAAAGTTTTTGAAAAGCTTTGTTTTGAAGGTTTTTCATTAGCAAGAAGCTGAGTGTTTAAATAAAACAAGATTCGATGATGTGATGACCGTTTCTTCCGATGAAACCAATGATAAAATAAAAAAGATAGCCCACAAAAAGTTACGTCTACAACCAAAATTACAGAATAATCTGTTTAATAGATTATTCTGAAATTTCAGTTAATGCATTAGTGATAGAGAGAGATCATTGGCTATTGGCTATTGGCTAAATTCCAACAAAGTTTCTGGACTATAGTAGCTTTTCCCTGAGTTTATTTTAAATCTTAATCTTTTAAATCTTTTAAATCTTAATCAGCATTGGGCTTTCTACAATAGTTTTAGTGTAGAAAAGTAAAAAATTTCGGTACTTACCGATTGCACGCCCGGAAAGGTAAAAAGCTAACATTTAATTGCATCATACCGGTTTCATTTCTTTTTCAGTAACCTAAGTTTTTGAGAAAATGACCAAGAATGGTAATCTTTTGTTCATATGATCTATCTATTGGGTTGATGAATTGAAAACTGCCGGACTTTGAACTAAAATTTTGAACTAAATTTATTCAAAATAAAACCATGGATCCATTCGAAATAATTTCCATTATTATTGACGACTTCTGCCCATTTTACAGGCAATTTGCGGATTCCCTCTTTCGTAGTAGGATTTTGGTTTTGAATCGAAAAACTTTTGGAGCCAATTTTTGACTGCTTCTTCCGAATCGAAGTGTTCTCCCGCAAGCTCATTACTCATGATCCGGAATAAATAGTAATCAAAAGGGGAGAGGTCCGGACTGTATGGGGGATGCGCCAAAAGTTCCCAAACAAGGCTATTTATTTTAGAGCGAGTCAGTTTTGCAACATGAGGGCGCGCGTTGTCGTGGATGAGAACGATCTTTGACTTGGAGGGCCTATTCTTCTTCAGGGATTCATTCACCTTTCCCAACTGTTCACTGTATTTGATTGCATTAACGGTCGTCTTGCTACCCAGCAACTCCCAGTACAAGTGTGTGAGACTCAAAAATGGGGGACTGGAGCTGTCCCAGTTTGTCCAGTTTGAGCACTTTCTTCAAAAGAAACCCATTTTGGTGTCAATAGAAAAGTTGTAGAGAATCAAAAATGAGGCTTATAGCCAAATTTCCAAAAAGATACACTTAGTAGTTTCGCTTAAAATGCAAGTTTTGTGAAAATTCGTAAATTTTGCATTTCTTCAAAACCAGTTTTTGAATCGTTCTGAAAATTTGGATATAAGCTTGATTTTTGATTCTCTACAACTTTTCCATTGACACCAAAATGGGTTTCTTTTGAAGAAAGTGCTCAAACAGTCACATATGACAATAGTCCGCAGTTTTCAATTCACCAACCCAATAAATATGCTATTGTGTTACTTCTGCGGGCGTGCAATCGGTAATTTGTTAACTTTCCGGGCGTGTAATCAGTAAATACCAAACTTCCTTATTTAAACTCACCACAAAACTCGGATAGTATTTGTAAGATAAACGCGTGAAAAAGTAATAAAAATAGTAGATTTCGAATGATCATCTCATGCACATGAATGACGGGAAAAGAAAAGAGAAATCTGAAAAACGTTGCTACATTGTTTACATTGTTTTAAATTTTACAAAGTTACAAAGTTACAAAGTTTACAAAGTTTACTAAGTTCAAATTCCAAAAACAAGATTCAACATTTGAAATTTACAAGTCTAAAAAATTTTTCTAACCAGAAAATGGATTAAAAGAAGAGTTAAAACTGAAGTTGATTTATTTTTTTTGCAATTTACATTCAAAAAGTTTCTTGGCATTCGGAATAAAATCAATTTGTGTGCAAAAATCCCTCCCTTTTTTTTCTTCTTCTTCTTCTTCTCTTTTCTTTCTCTTTTCCAAAAATTTGTCCCTTATCAGAAAACATCTCCCAATTGTTGGGATCATCAAAAGCCATAAAAGGAAAAAGAAAAAAAAGGAGGGAATTACATTTTGCTTAACGCCCAAATGAGCTACTCATAAAAATGGATGAAGTCGCCCGTTTTGGAGAATTTTGCTGATAGATTTCTCAACTGAGAAAAGGTTTTTCGAAAATCCAACGTCATAGAAAAGATTTCTTGATAGAATGCTTGAAAGTTTAGAATTTTAGAGCACTAGTTTTATGCCTAAGCTAAGCCTAAGCTAAGCCTAAGCCTAGGCCAGGTTAGGTTTAGTTGGTGATCAGGCTAGGCTCATGAGCTGACCCTAACCTCTAGCCGAACTCCAATCTATGCTTGTATAGTCTAAATTGTGCAGAATGGGCCCAGGATTGAACCTGGCCTGGTTCAGCTCTAGAAAGCTGGAGCCTAGCCCAATCCTGGCCTGGGTTTTTGAGTACGGTAACTTTTCAAGATGATTGTGGGACATTAGATACGCGCCCCTCCCCTTTGTCATCGGCAATCCAACTTTGAGCTCAAATTTCTTGGTGTTGGGCTGTTCAACTTAAATAATTTTTGAATCAATCGACAGAGAAAGACTTGGCGCATCTAATGATACCAATAATTTATGAATTGAACAGCCCAACACCAATATATTTGAGCTGAAAGTTCGATTGCTAATGGCAAAAAGGGGAGGGGCGCGTATCAAATGTCCAATAACCTTCCAAAATAAGTGAAAACGTAAAACTTTCATTGTACACTGTACTTTCATTGTACACTAAATAAAATTCAATCGATAATGGATCAATTCGGGTCAAAAAAAAGAAAACAAGGAATCGAAAGTGGAATCGGAAAAGATGGAAAGGGTAGGGAAATAAAATGAATGAAAACGACCCAAAACTACCAGATAACAGGTGATCAAAAGGGGAAATGTGAAGTGAATGAAGGGGGTACTTGACGTGATTCTCCTCTCATTCATTTTCATTTATTTTCATTCATTTCCCCAATGCTCCCGATCCCCATTCTCTCATTAATGGCCCCATTTACGAGCTCTTCTCCTCCTTTTCATTGTCCCTCCCCCCTCCCCCTCTTTTTTTCTTCAATCAATCCAATATTTTCTTTAGAAGACGTGTGAAATGTTGTGACTCTGCCCAAAATTTTTGGGGTTATTTGTCGTAAAATTTTGATTCTCTTAAAGATAAGAAGGTAAAATTTGGTGGTGTTGATTCGAGGAATAAAAAAAGGGGAAGTGGGTAGATTATTGGGATTATGAAAGAAAAAGAGAGGATCTTTTTAAATCAAACTCTGAAGTAGCTTCTTCTATCAAACTCTGAATTAGCTTCTATGTTAGGGTTCAAATTCGAGTATTCAGCATTTGATTACGATAAAATAAGCCAAGCTATCACAATCGAACGTACTTTGTAACTAAACTTGCTTCCTTCGGTTACTGTAGCTTTCAAATTTCAGACACTTTTCCCCATTCAAAGCTGGAAACACGCTCTGGTCTGTTGGAACTTTTAAACTAAAAAATAAGCTTTAATAAAATGCTTTAATAAAACGCTTTAAAGGTTCATAACGTTATTTAGTGATAATATTATTGTTAACTTATGTTTTTTAGTATTTTGTTGGTTTTCCTGTAGCTTTAATAATTTCTTTTATCTTGTTTAACATGCTTTCAATAAGTTTCTGAAGTTTTCGCATAGAAATCGCATTCCAGATTTCTTCAACCCTACTCCAGAGCTCGCTTTTTGTTGCAAAACGATATTCCCGTAATTCACGTTTTACATAGGCCTACAAGTGCTCGATTGGGTTGCAATTGTTGAGTTGAGTTGTTGAGTTGAGCGGTGTTTGTAAAAGGTAAACATCGTTTAGGCGAAACTATCCCCGGAAGACGAATAAAGTGATGATTCCGGAGCCTTACTCTACGTCCCGACATCAAGCCACTCGTATGTTTAGGATCGCCATCAACCAAGCCGAGTCCATAGTTTTTTGGGCATGGGAAAGCATTGATTTCTCAAGTATGTCGCAATATTTGGGAGCATCCATAATACCATCAATAAGTGCAAGTGGTCCAATTGTCTGAGCATCTGCTGGAAGCTGTCATCAAGCCATCTTGCTGGAAATCTTTAAAGCTAATTTTTCTATGCAACTCATGAAAGCTTTAGACGTTGACGTTTTCGTTTTCGCGTTTTCGCGAAAATCGTTTTTATCGTAAAACATAAACATAAAATTGGGAGAAATTCGAAATTCGCCTGCCTTACGATCCTGAGAAAAACGATTATTTCAGGGGAAAAATCGTCTCAATATTAATCGAAAAGTCATCGTTGAAAATCTACGTTATTTGACGCTTCAAAGAAGAAAAAAAAACGATGCAAATTGTTACGGTAAGCAATTTTGAGAAAGAAAAGAAATGGAAACTTTTTGCAGTTATCACTCATTTTCATCTGGACGATCGCCGTGTATGGGGTGAAATTGGTGGGGAGATTTGGCTTTGGCTTGGGCGGCTTTGGCTTTGGCGGCTTTGGCTTTGGCGGCTTTGGCTGTGGCGGCTTTGGCTTTCGGCTTTTGGCGGCTTTGGCTTTGGCGGCTTTGGCTTTGGCGGCTTTGGCTTTGGCGGCTTTGGCTTTGGCGGCTTTGGCTTTGGCGGCTTTGGCTTTGGCGAATCACACTGCAGATGAAAAGAAAATTTAGCTCTAAAAAACTCTAAAGAACATAATTTACTGAATTGGGATATTTTAGAAAGCGACTCCAGCAACTCCACCCAAACAAATCTCGAAAATCGTCAGCGGTGATCCGAAAGTGGTGAGTAAAAAGGATAAAACCTAAACCTTAACCGCATTACCGTGTGTTACTTTTAAGTAATAAAAGGCTAGTTTTATCTACCGCAAATACTTTAATAGAACGCCACCCCTTCGTATTAACTTCTTTTTAGAAGTTAGTAGTTCTTTCTTCTTTTTTTCTCACTAGGGAAGGCCACCAATCACACTGTAGCTAGTCAGCACCTAGATTTTTCCAAAATACACTTTTAATACCAAAAAATACTAGATTTTAACGGCTATCATTTGACATTTGACATTTGACACCCAAGCGCGCACTGTAGCTTAAAGCAGCCCGGAGAATGGAGATTTCCAAAGCCCGGAGAATGGGATTTTCCAGGCTACGCGACTGTACGCCCGTCATTATGGGGCTGCCGTTCTATTAAAGTATTTACGGTAGCATTAAGTCAGTAATTCTTAGACAAATAAGTCTACTAGTTTGAGCTGCTAGTTTGTAGTTTGTACATGTAAAAAGAGGAATTACTTGCAAAGAAATTTAAATGGCAAAACTACAATATATTCTAAGGTTTTCGAAGAAGTTTTAGCTTTATTAGTCAAAAAACGGTTGAAAAAATGCCCGTACAGACCGACATTGCTCTTTTATATAAGGAAAAAACTTTTTTCTTCCAGAAGCCCACCACTAAATCTCCAGTTATTTCAAAAGTTGTCGGATCGATCGGCGAAAAGGTTTACTTCGATGAATTGGAGCTTAGAAAACACTTAAATAACTAAAATTGTGGAAAAGGCAGTTTATAGAAAGATGTAAAACTGTAATTGAAAAAAATTGTAATTTACTGGGCTATTGTATTACCGTAAATGCTGTATTAGAATGACACCCCACTGACTCCTCGAAAGCTTGACTTTAGACCCCCTTGTGGGTAGAATGAACTGTGGATAGATCGCCATAGAACTATGGATAGATATAGGCCTAAAATCTACTAATATTTTATCAGCAGTAAAATTTAAAACTCTATTTTTGAAAAAATAGAAAAATAATTTTTTGAAAAAAAATCATAAGGGTCCCCCACATGGATTTTTTTTGGAGATTCAAAGTAAGAAAATGATTTCATTTTAAAATAATTTCACTTTTTTTTGTACGTTTTGGACAAAGGGGCATCGTTTAAAATAGTTTTTAACGAATGCTAAATTTTTGATCCATTTGGACCCATGTGGTCCTTACCGACTTTTTGGATCGGCCGATTTTGAAGGGTTGAAAAATAGAACAACATGTCATTCTAGTTTTTAACGAATTCTAAATTTTTGATTCATGTGGTCCCCCTTTACCTACTTTTTGGATCAGCGAGGGGTTGAAAAATAGAATGACATGTCATTCTAATACGGCATTTAAGGTATTTAAAAATTGAATCATTGATCCTGAATAAATCATTGGTCCTTTGAGCGCTATTATTTGTTTACTTTGTATTTCTCTGTTTGGTTGATGATTTGAATGTTGTGTACAGAATCTAGTCAATTTTGAAAGACAAATTAAAGTTTTTTTTTTCAGAAACCCGTCGGATCAGTGAGCAAAAAAGTTTACGATCAAGTGAGCAAAAAAAAAGAAATTATTTTAATGAAAAAAGAACTTTAGACCTCACCGCCTCGTTCATCAAATGTGAGTAGCTAAAACCGAAAAAATTAGAATTTTAATAAATTGATTAGCACAGGAGAGCCTAATTTCTGCAACTTGCTATAACTTTTGGTCCTTTTTGGCAGATTTTGATGATTTTAATATCGTTTTTATGTTCTCATCAAGAGCTACAAAATTGTACCAAAATGCAATAGGTTTAAACTTTTAAAAAATTGGTTTTTCTTATTTTTTGCAATGATTATTGCAATTGCACCTATTGCAATGATTTTGATAACATTTTGTAGCTCCTGAGGAGAACAGAAAAACGGTAATAAAATCATTCAAATTGGTCAACAACGAAAAAAGTTATAGCGAGTTGAGGAAAAGCTCCCGATTGGCACTTGTGAATTTCTTATGGTGGCCATTTATTTAACATTTATCCTACCGTAAATACTGTAATAGTACCCCACCCCCATAATAACGGTGCGGAGCGTTGCGTAGTCTAGCTTTGGACGCGTTTTTCTCGACACTGGTTTATGCTACAATGCGCGCTTAGGTATCAAAAAATAGCTGAGATTCAGGGCTATTTTTTGATACCAAAAACGCATTTTTTGAAAGTACGGGTGCTTTGCAAAAAATGAAATACTAAAAAACTTTTGCGACTACCAGACTGTACGAGGGGGGTGGGGTACTATTACAGTATTTACGGTAACAACTTTATGTGACACATTTATCTTATTTTATTGGATCCTTTATCCTTTATCCTTTATCACTTTATCACTTTATCACTTTATCACTGCGAGAATGGCGGCCATAAGATTCACAACTATGAAATGATTTCACTAAATCTTTCAGTTGCTCGTGAAAAGACCAGCAATTGTTGGGAATCCCAAGAAGGAAAAAGCCGCCAAAGTTTTTATGGGACAAATTGTGAGTACACTATTATTGAAAGCTCACAAAATATTGTAGAGATTGAGCTATCACTATTTCGAAACCCCTTCCCCTGCCTTATTTTCAGAGCATCACTTGAAAAAGATTTTTATTGTACTATAGATATAATCAAGCCTAAAATCTCTCGCTATCAGTTGCTAACAATTATCCGAACCTGTTCAAAAATCTGGATAATTCCAAAAAGATTATCGGACATTTGATACGCGTCCCGCCTTTTGCCATTGGCAATCTAACTTTGAGCTCAAATTTCTTGGTGTTGAGCTGTCCAATTTATAAATTATTGGTATCACCAGAGCCCTGTAATAGTTTTCAGATTACATTCAACTTTTACAACTGTACGCAAATAAATTTAGATTGTTAGATTCCCAATGACAAAAGGGTGGGGAGACGCACCTTTTATACGATATTGCTGGCCACTATGACTAGTTAGCTAATTTGAGTGGTATCGGACATTTTATACGCGTCGCCCCCATTGCCATTGGTAATCTAACTTTGAGCTCAAATTTCTTGGTATTAGGCTGTCCAATTTATAAATTATTGGTATCATTAGATAAGCCAAGTCTTTCTCTGTCGATTGGTACAAAAACTATTTCAATTGGACAGCCCAACACCAAGAAATTTGAGCTCATAGTTGGATTGCCAATGACAAAAGGGGCGGGGCGACTATCAGTTTTGCTATTTTTCACCAATTTGGACTAGGCTGTTGCTAGTGCTCTATTTTTCGGTTATTGCTTTAATGTAAGGTTTAATTGTTTAATTGGTTAAACGGGGCGCGTATCAAATGTCCCAGTCTTCCAAAAACTCCAGATAATAGACGAAATCCTAATTTTCGAGAATTCGAGATTTTCCGAGATCTTTTAAGTGCTCATTTGTAGTTGTAAGTACAGATTTCTGTATTAGACACAGATTTAGACACAAGCAGAGAAAATCGTTTTGTCAACGGCTGTTCCCATCGTGTTTCTTCATCCGAAAGAGGGAACGGTGATTGAAAATACAATATTTTTTTAAAAATCCATAAGATATCATAGTTCTTAACAAAAAATTTCAGATTGTGACCAAAATGCCGAAGAATTTGGCGACGATTGTTGAAACGATCAAGAGAAATCGTTGGTTCTGTCCAGGTTTATAATTATCAAATTTTAGAAACACTAACCGATGAGGAGAAATGGAAAGAAATCAAGGAATGCGCGAGGAGACACGGATTCGAGGAAATATTGAAGAAGTACACGAAACACGACAATCTTCCCAATCGAACAGTGATTGAAGGTCGGATTGAAATGAAGATTTTAGAAAGATTTCACAAAAAACTGGAATCCGGAGACAATTTGTGGGGTTTGTTTGAATGTTATCTGTCACGAAATGTTCATTTTAATGGTTTTTGTGTCCGGAATAAAACTTTTGTTAACAATGATACAGAACAAAGGAAATTTGAGAAATTTACTCCCATGTTTGCATCGAGAATCATCGAAAATCATCGAAATCTGATTATAACTAAATTCTTGAAGACTAAAAGTCAAGTCCTGGTTTTGTCTGACCAGTTTACTGTAAATCTGGTCTATAAAAGTCTCTGGGCTCGTCAGAAACCAAGTTGGAGATAAATTTCTAGGCTAAGCTAAAGCCAAGGCTTTACAGTGTGGCCCATAATTTGGGCTTAGGCTTAGGTCCAGCGAGGTGGGCGAGCAGAAAAAGTGTGGCCCATAATTTGGGCCACACTATAATCATAATTATAGTGTGGCCCAAATAAAAAG